ACACATGCACAAACGACCACATGCACAAACGCACACATACACAAACGCACACATGAGACTCAAGCGCACGAGTGTGCCTCTTTTCCATATTACACAACAAAAAGAGGCTTGATCAATCCACCCACCTGGACTGTGGGAGCTTCTGTCATCCCCACAAGATGAAGAAATGTGAAATATTTCACTTCCTTTTTAACATTGTCAACGCACGGCAAAACAGATTCGCCATTATATAAATGCCGAAAAATATCACCAGATCGTGAGCCATGGACACCGCCAAGAAAAGACGCATCTTCCGTCATAGATCTGTCGTAGCACACGTCTGTTTCGATGTGGTTGACAAGCGCTTGCCGGGCATCTGTCCAGTATTGCACTGTCTCTTCCTCAGAGCAGGCACCGTGTGTTGTTTCATCACTAGATGCACTGACCTGGGCATCATACCCATCTGCAACAGGGCCATGACGGACTGGCTCAAGCTTATAGAGAGTAGGCTTCATACGCCGCCGACCGTGCATGTGGCAACTGCTGGCAGCAAGCCATCTGACTGAATTCCTCACATGCCTGAGCCAAATATTCGCCAGGGCACCTCCGCTGGTCCGGCAATGGCGTCCTAGAGAAGACATGGATCACGTACTAAGATGTACTACGTGCAGCACATCAGGTACACGACGAGACCTGAGAAAGTCAGCTACCACACCGCACCCCAAATTCGTGTTACTTCTTGCCAGGAAGAAGAACGAGCATCAGCTTCATCATCCAGGCTTCGCACTGTCACGAATGAATATCGGTAAATAAAAGAGCAATATCCTCTTTCTCTCGTACCTGCACTGCTCTAAATCAAATAATTTAATTTGAAGCACGCTTTCTGCTTTCTAGGACTCGCCTTCTACTTCTTTTAGTAGAATCGTTCTCTGGTGTGACTCTCTTTGTGATAGCCAACTGTGTGTGAAACTTGATCTGATGTCCCTGAAGTGCTTGCTTACACTATAACTTCTACTGTAAGCGCTTGTCTTTGGACCGGACTTCCAAAACTACAAATTGGCAATCATGCTGCATGTCACAGTGCAACAACATTTTGTTCATTGTATTTTCAGTGTTCACGACAATGACTTTTTTGAAATTATGACGCCATAGCTTCTATGGCAACCACCGAGTAGTAATTTTACTCCCTGATGGCAACCTTGCCCCACTGCACTCCACCCGCCCAGCTAGCCAGGCCAGGCTGCGCTGTACGCTGAGAGCTGGCTGAGTCCGACTGGACTCTCCAGGACCTTTTTGTCTGGTCCGCGTGGAAGCTTTCATTTTTTGTACTGCCTTTTAGTTTTAGAAAAGTAGTATAGCGGGTACATTATGCCCTCAACAGTAGGAAGCACGTGTTGGTGGCCAAAAAGTGGGCCGGTAATACCCTGACCAACGGACCTGGTATCCTTGATGAGAAGGAAACGCCCGACTAGTACTGCCCCCCCTCCCCCCCCCCCCCCCCCGGGGCCTGCCTGAAATGTTCAAGCTAGACTGTCTAGTGGATGTGTGAGGTGCTTCCAGTGTCGGTCGTCGAGGCCGGAAAAGGCAAAGATAGGGAACTTGATTGATCAGGAATTCAGTCAGGTTTAGGACATGTATGCCATGGCGAAATGTACATGTATGGAGAAGCCGCGAGATCCCAAACCTACTGTTTGGGGGGGGGGGGGGGGTTGAGCCTCACATTCCGACCAAAATCGGGCTTTCAAAAGTCAACACCGGGACTATTGTCTAGTATTTTGGTCTAACATGATCTCATCAGTGGAGCTCAGCTGCAGAGGTTTCGTACTGCGAAAAATATAAAACAAGCCTTTGCACTGCAAAGGCTGCTGCAGGTCTTGTAATTGGTATTATAGCAATACAGTACGAGAGGCCGCAGCTCGCATAGGGGCATCAAATTTTCCATTGGCGGTACACTGAATCTAGAAGAGTTCTGTACACTGAAGTTCAACGGCAGATCGAAAAACACTCGGCTGTCGTGCACTAGTGACAGTTGCATCCGACGATGCCCAAAAGCTAAAACTGAAGGTGCAACCTGAGCCGCACCAATTAATTGGTTTGATCCTCACGGCAACCTAATTCAACAGTGATCTGAGGGGTTTGAATGGCCCGGGTCAGTGGTATAAGCAGGGGCACGGTCCATTCAGCCGAGTGAAGTCAATTCAGTATGAGGTGGACTAACGGTCAGCATCTCGGGACCTTGAGCCTTTGAAGTTGAGGTCGTCCTGGCTGAGCCGGCTATAGTATAGGCCACAGCCATGCTCTTTGGCCTCTGCTAGTCATCACGCATGGGCTTGTGATAACTGCATGAGTTGACAGTTCCCGTGACGACACCTCAGTACAGTGTAGCGGACAATCTCAGTATTACTAGTATTAGGCAGGCCGGCTGGGACGCCGCCCATGAGCCACGCTGCCAGTTTTGATCAGAATAACATCACGGAGCTTTTTTGTGGGAGCCCAGGGCTTGTCATCTCATTGCGCTTAATACTGCACTCATGATCTGCTGCCATGGCAGTGACCGTGATGATACTATGATGCGGCTCGTTACCGATGACTGAGCCACGTACATGTATATCTCAGTACTCTTGGTGTTACCAACTTGATGTACATCGCTGCATCGCAAAGTAGCCAGCCGTTGGTTGTGTAGCACGGCCAAATAGAACGGTAGGTGAGAATAAATGAAACTATACGTACCAGACACTTTGGATCAGTACCCGCGACATGACGACGGCGTAACGGTGCCAATCCGTCAGGTTTCAGACGAGAATACAAACACAGTACACAGCACTTCCCTCAATACACTGTCGGGTTGATGCTACTTGCGCTGAAGTTCAGCACCGGTACGCTGGCGGTAGACTTAAATGCAGCCTGCTACCGCCCTGTATCAGTTCTGTGAGCCATGTCGACCACAGTCTTGGTACTTATTGTACAGCAGAACAGCTCAAGTTGATGTAAGTCCAAGTTGCCCACCGGTCATGGGAGATTGGTAGTCTCACCCAGTTTCTCCTCAGGAGCCACCGCGATCACCGTAATCGCCATGATCGCCGTGCCAACCAGTGGCATAACTGAAGCAATTCACAAGCAATCCGCCTACACCGGGGACAGTGCCCTGCCAATTAGGCTACGGGGGATCACACACACACACACACACACACACACACACACACACACACACACACACACACACACACACACACACACACACACACACACACACACACCACACACACACACACACACACACACACACCACACACACACACGCACACACACACACGCACGTGTACCCGGGGCTCCTTCTTGCTATGCTAGTATGGCACCAGCGCTTATGTGTCAAATGTTACCATGGTTACTGTGAGCTGTGGTTGCCGCGACGGCGCACAAGGAGACCGTACAGCGGTGCATGCTTGCCATCCTTGACGCTCACCTCCATCACCTCTCTGCCAATGTCCTTCTCCTCGACTTTTCCTGCCAGCGTTTCTCTGGATCGCTTGGCCTTGCTGGAGTCCACGCGTGCTTGCATTGCACACATGTGTGTGGAGTGACGCGGCTCTTGTTGACAATAGCACTCACAGTAGCGGATGGAAGGCGAGAGAAAAACGCGCCGGTAATCAAAGTATTCAGTTTTGTATGGCTGCCTTTCATCATCGTAATGACCATCGCCGACGTTGATAACATTTCCAGACAGTCGAGCACGCTCACCTGGCCTCAGTAGTCGACCTTCATGCAGGATGCTCCGCACGTTCGTTGTGAATGTGCCGTGGTATGCCACAGGTTGGCCCAAGTTGTTGGCACCCGGCGACTTGCTGCCAAACATGTCATTGACAACACTGACATCTCCACCGTACTGCTCAACCATGGCTTTGGGGTCCAGGCCAAAGCGGCACCAACCGCTTGGTAGCAGGTAGAGCTCATTTCCTCGCTCGATTCTCTGTTTCTCCATGGTTTTGTCAATGCACTCTCCGCAATAGCAGCGGTCGTAGCGGTGATCAAACACATCCCGGAGGCCATTCAGCGTCAAGCTGTTGACAACGAAATTCCAGCAGTCCTCCATCACGGGACATTTCTTGTTCCTGTTGCGCCACTTCATACCCTTGTGCCAGCTTCCACGTGTCAAGAAGCGTACAGGCATGTGTTCCCGACCTTCACCACCACCAGCACCAGCAGCAGCAACACCATCACCACCACCATCACCATGACCATTATCATCGCTTGCCTCTCCAGCATCATCACTTGCCGCTCCAGGATGCCTGCTTCCGTGAGCCGGTGGACAGACTTCGATCAGCTGCAAACAGGAAAAGCGCTGGCATGCTTTCCAGCTCCAAAAGAGCATCAGAACGGACCAGCAGACGGCAATGCAAACACTGCAAGCAGCCAGTGCATAGCCAGCATTGTATTGATGTGCACTCATTGCGAATACTGGGCTTTTAGCTGCGGAAGTATGCCACTTGGCATTAATCAAACAAGCCATAACCCAGGACAGCACGGTACAGGGAACGGTAGCGATAACAGTGATGAGCAAATGGGCTGGGCGCTTGTGCACCAGACAAGTGAAGATGATCAGGAGAAGGGAAATGCCTAGTGAGAGGCTGTAACTAGCCAGCATGGCCTGGCACATCTCTGAGCTCGACTCCAGAATGCACGTATTGCTCAGCACAGCATTGCGACCCGTCTGATCGGGCCACTGTGCATCTCTCGCCGTCAACACAACAGAGAGCGTCGAGCCAGCCAACAGCAGCAAAAGAACTATCATCTCCAGATGTGTGCCCTTTGATCTAGCGTGATCAGATATGGCCTTGCTAACTGAACGCCGCACCACAGTAATCTTGATGGGAACTAGTGCGGTGACAAAGAATGAGAACACGACAGCAACAATCAACACACTCCTATTGTGATCGATTCTGTTCTTCACCATTCGCCGAGCTTGTAAACTTGACGATGCCAGCCACATGACGAAGAATGACACAGTTGCGAAGGCATCAAACAGTTTTGCCAAGTCCGTCCACCACTTATCGTACGGGAAGCATCCGTCAAAGCGGGTAAAGAGAAGCAGAAATTGAATGACAAGGGTCACTGCCACAGTAGCTAGGACAAAGTTGCACTCATGTTCATTACTGGCATAGACGCAGGAGCTGTTGTGGTTCTGGGCACTCATCTTGCCGTCATAGTTGGCATTTGATAGTGTTGCCATGACAACAGCCGCACAGGCAACAATGCTGAGCTCCACCAGCAGCAAAGCAACACCATGGCCCGGCTTCAATTCACCCAATCGTATTCCGTCAGCTTCGTCGTCCGCGTTATCCCAACGCGGCCTGTCCGGGACGCGAGAGAGAAGCCCTGCAGTCCAGTAGCCCAGAGTCATGAGCAATGCCATTGCAGTCAACACGTGGCAAGATATCACTGCACCGCCACCGTATCTCTCCATGCCGTTGAGCTGCTTCACAGCCTCAGAGCTGAGAATGGACGTCCAGCTTTGCGCGGCCATGACAGAGGCTGTGATTTGCATTCCAATCACAACGATGATAGCCACTGTTCGTCCAACGCTCGTGAGCAATGGCAGCTGTCTACCACGCTCCTCGGCCATTTTAGCACGCATCCACACGTCCATGATCAGAAGGGGGACTGTGCACAATGTGAGTACATTGCATGCTCTCAGAATCAAGCAAGCAGATGTTTGCACATGCTCAGAGTCAACTTGAAACAAACAGGTCGAGTTCGGCATCACTCCGCTTTCTATGCCAAAAGACCCAACAATAGCCAGGGATGTTAGTGTTAATACCAGTGCTAAAGAAAGCAGAGGCACTTCCAGCATTCCCGACGCTGCATGCCGTATCCACCCGGCGAAGGAATCCTGTGCTGGCAGCACAGCCGATGTTGTCGGATCCCGCACTGACATCAGAAAGCTGTTCAGCGCGCCCAGAAGGAACACAAGCAGTGTGAACGCCATGCCCGCCTTGCAGAGCTGATCCTGGCGCGATGCAGCGGTGTTCGCAGGTTCATACAGGGACACCTGGAGCACGAACGACACCAGCGCCAGCACTGTGCACGTCACTTCACAGGAAATGATACCCCTGCCGTCGTGTATTCGCAGCACATCCACTACCAACTGCAGCACACCAGAAACCAACAGGATGATGCTCAACGCTAATATCAGGTTGCACACATGGTAGCTGCCATACAGGCAATAGTAGCCGGATGACGGCGAGTAGCCATTGGCACTTGCCAACGCGACAGCACCCACGGTAACTAACGAGCACACAACATAGGCGATCCGGGAGCAATAGCGCATTGCTATGCTATGCCCCAAAGTTAAACCCGCTGGATGTTGCTCGCTCGAGACAGCCATTCCTAGATTCCGGCTCTCGACCGCTGTGTTTGGCTTTGATTTGGTCGTCGTCTGGCGTTCGCAAATAGATATAATTATTCCATTCACACCATTGCACGAAACGTTTCCTCCGCACCGTTGGTAACCTGCGACTCGATCTAGCAATCACAACACAGGCTACAATACAGTGGGAATGGCTCTTTTTCCCAACGCCAAAAAAAGACCAGTTCTCGAAACATCTTCGAACATAGCTGCTCAGCTAGCTGCCAGTCGCCAGTCATCTTTCGACAGTCCGCGACATTCTTCCTTGACATGATATTTCATTGTCCGTATTATGTCCACCGCAAAGCTTTCCTACTAGTACTACTCAAGCAGCGTGAAGAAGCGAGGCCGCTCCGCGGATAACCACGACTTTCACTACTTCCTGGTGCAAGCTGTAACACCAAGAGTTGATGGTTACCGACTGGTAAATTCTGGTAACGCACAACGGGACGTAGATCTACTTGTAGCAAGACTTTGTAAATAGTTCTACATGTTCAGCGCGGAGAAGCGAGTTTACTGTTTACCAGAGTAATAACAACTACGGTATAATGTGCAGTCATTCCAAATGAAGTGACCGGTACATTGTACTTGTGGATGATGAATTATTATTATGGCAGATGATTTGATTTGTTGCTGGGTTGCGAGAGCTAGTGGTAGAGGGCTCCGAATTTGTCCTCTTTTTTTCTATAGATACATGTAGCGCTACCGACCGTAGTTATCACGGATACATGCAGCTGAGCCTGTTGGACATTATTCTATGGGACATCTGATCACTGGCATTGTACAAGCATAACATAATACTATACTGGTATTCGCCAAAACAATCCGGCCATGTGCAGCATTGGCCAGATTGTTTTGGTGAATATACTTGAAGTAGTAAATATTGCAACACCAAAGCATCATCCAGGAAATGAATGGAAGTAGCAATCGCTGCACGCACCGACACTTCATGCTCACACACTGGGAACGGGATCTGAGGCGGTTCGCATAGAATGGTAAAAAATAACTTCACAGACTGATAATCTGCGCATTCTATGATCCAAGAAACCAATTTTGCACAAGACCCCAAAGGCAGTGCAAACAACCAGTGCATGCCCGAGTCTCCCCTACTATAGCTAGAATATCGTCACAAGAACTGTTTAAGTGGCTCTGGGTGGCTGGAGTCAAAGTGACAGGAGGAGCACAAACCGGTCGTGCGAAACAGAATCAAGCATGACATAACCCGGAAAATCAATACTACTTGAAGTACAGTATAAGGCAAAGAACTGTCAACCCTGACACGTTACCAGCCGACAGACAGTTCAAAACCAAAAGGCCTGAACTCCGAAAGTCAGAGCAGTTCAGAGAACCATGCTAATAAACAAAGGATCCATCATTATTCCATCAGTGAGTTATGAAAGCAAACAATGCATGTGGCCAACTTGGCAGACAAGCAGTTGAGTTCTTCACAACGTTATACATGCTGTGAACAGCACACTCCACCAGGACTCCAATGTTTGTCAAGTCACTCACTTTCAAAGCTCGGACCGGGAGAACGAAAGAAAATCGAAAAATAAAATAAAACACTTCAGGGAGCAACTTAAATTCCAGCTGGCTATGGCAAGCATCTGGCCGCAAACAATTCCAATACTTTGATGGTGGGGAGAGAGTTATCCCATGTCCACTCTCGACATACTACTTAGTAGCCATGGCTAAAGAACAATGAGTGAAAGCTCTGATCAAAAAGTCAATCTTAAAACAACAGCAGCCAGTGTAGCCATGGAAGATGTAAACACAAAACTAGTCAATTTTTTCAGCTAATCTAGAGGGCTGTCTTTTCTCTGCAGAACCAATTGCATGCTTCGGAGCAGCAAAAATATACGCAGTATTCAAAGCGGGCTTGAAAACAAATCCTAAAAGCGCACCAATAGTGTGGATTACAAAATCAATACTTGTATGTGGGCTAGACAACAATGCTGCTGAGCAGCAGAAACTGCTGGCAGATTAGAACGCCCAGGACCTAGAAATAGACCCAAGCTGATAAACCAGAGACTAGCTACTCGTTCAGCAGTCAACAATGTTGGAACGCAGAGCCTGGGATGACTGTTACTGTAGTGGAATATACTAGTAATCAGAACACCAGAAAGATGGTAGGGTCTGGTTGCCTGAGCTCAGCACCAACAACCAGACGAACCTGCCACGCGGAGCATGTCGTCAACAGTGTCACTGGTCGATGGTCCGTGTTGCTTACAAGCAAAGACAAGTCAACACACACTGCACCCAGCAAGCTTACTAATGCCTGACGTGTGTTGCATCGATGTCTTCATGAATGGCATACCACCAACCAACGGCTTGATTCAGCAGAGGCAAAAGAAGCCGATCCACCCTCAGCAGCACACTTTCAGCGTTAGGATAAGCTTCTCTAAATTCTCAATTTCATCCTGACGAGAATAGAGAAAAGCCGACAAGAAAAGAGAGCACTTCAGAGACAAACATGCGCGACACATTCGGAAAACTTCATATATTCCATGAATGGTTTTAACCGTCTATGGTGCTTAGTCGTGGAAGATATTCGAGAGGCTGGGACAGAATAGTTACAGTAGAAATTCCGCTATCCGGACACCGTGCAAGGTGAAGCATTGAAAGCGTCTTCCTTTTCGTGGCAATCAGCTGAAAAAAGGGAGAACAAATCCGCAGTTCGCGTCAGTCTCGGCTAGAGGCCGAGTTTTCCGCATCCGTAGGAATGCCACCACCCTTCAAGGATCAAGGCAAAAGCAAGGCCTAAAATCAAAATTCTACCACTTGTAGTCATCGGGGTTCTGGTCCAAGCAAGCTGAGATGCTCCATTCGTTTTCACTGCTACAGTCCTACTTCAAGTAATCGAACCTCACGCAATTCCTCCGAAACTGGGTGAGTGTGCCCTACTAGATGGGAGTTTGAGTGGAACAATTTCACTGAAAGTGCCACATCGGGAGAAATAAAAGTGCAACAATGATCCCGGAAAAATGGTTGTTTCTTTCGACATTTGTATGGCAGTAGCCCCCCCCCCCCCCCCCCAAAGAGGACAGTTCAAAAGGATTGTGAATAGTGAATACCTACCTGATACTGGTCGTCTTCGAGCCTTTTTAGAGCGACTATCGTTGCCTCCATACTCGTGGCAAGGTGGCTGTGGTGTTCACAGGCCGCTTTGAGGCACGATCCATCCACATCGATGAGATAGGACACGGTTCTGGCGACATGTTCCAGGGATTGTGTGCGATTGGATGACAACAGCGCTAGCAGTTGATCCAGCACACCGGACTTCAGTACAAACTCTGCGAACAAGTGTGAATGGCACAATAAGCAGCCCCAGAGAAGCCCGCACACAGTTGGTCAGAACAGGCGTTTGCCAACCGCGGCAAAAAGCAATGTAAGAGCACAAGCATGGGACCATTCGAGCGACACAGCGGAGTGTTGAGCATAGATTTAATGGAGCACTTCAGTGAAGAGAAGGAGGTGCGTGTTGCACACAAGAAAACAAGTGAGAGACAGCAGTGCACTGTGAGTGGCCCAGAGCACCATCAAAAACACATACAACGCAGTGCAGAACTCTGCAGGAGAATAAGTGCGGAAGGATTGCACTCTACCCGTGACCAAGACACTTGGACACTCACCGCATTGAGTACGACACCAGTGATCTACTGACCGGTGGATGGAGTGTACTCTACCCGTGACCAAGACACTTCGACACTCACCGCATTCAGCACGATACCAGTGATCTACTGACCTGTGTTACTAGCGGAATGGGCAACCATGTTCGCCACGAGGAAAGCAGCTTTCGTCGTGATCTTCTCTACGCCACTCTTCAGGCACCGGCACAGCGCCGAGTAGCCGTCTTGCTCTACAAACGCTGCCTGTGCCGGGTGGTTGTCCTTCACCAAGCCTGAGCAGAGACCATACACAACGCAGAGGGGCAAGGCCACCAATAGCTGTGAATACAGGGATACACTGCTGGATTAGAGCAGGTACGGTATTTTACTGGTTATAAGACTACCCGTTACGACCTAAAAGCCAAACAAAAAAGGGGTACTAGTAGTTGACTTACAACTGGGGTTTAACCGCAATTGTACCGGGAAATTGAGGGTCCACTTACGACCGGTTCGACACAAGAACTGGAAAATGCGGTATAGCAAGTCGCAAGTACAGCGAAAACCATACATGTGTTGTGCCGGACAAGTTTCCCTTTCCGCTGACATGATATTCTACCACAAGGGGACAACCATTCCCTGGTCCCGGGTCTAAAGGAATACGTCATACATGTACATACAAGGATCAGAGGCAGTCCCCCCCCCCCCCCCACACACACACACTAAGAAACAAGCGTTTTTTCTAACCTGGGGAAGGTAAAATTGGACCGAAGTACATGACTACTAGAAATAGTAGAAAGCAATATACTCGGCATTCATATTTCCACATAGAGTTGAGTTAGTGTCAGTAGAGAGCAACACATTTTTCAGGGAATTCCCACAAGCCAAATCAAAGCAGTGCCTGTGACTTTCCTCAACTTGAGTAAAGCTTGACAGACGACTACAATGTATAGTAGAGATGACATCACCATTGGCCTACAGCACAGGGTCCCAGGCTGGGTGTCTTCGGAAATTTCTCTATCATCTCACTCAGACTAATGAACTGGACTGCAGAAGGTTTTACGGGTAAATATCGTCAGGTTCTTACAGTAACCAGACTTACACGAGGTTGCATAGAGAGCCTTCACTCGGACACCCACCACCTGGCTACAGTCAAGGTGGTGAATACACTTTGACAACACGTTACACTCCAAGCCATGCTGCTGACAGCGAGGATTGTTCTGGAAGAGGTTGCCAAGCAGCTCAAAGGCTGCTGTCTGCAAGGAACTGAGCAGCAACAGAAGACACACACGCACACATACGGAAGACACACACCAATGAGGATTACAGTCGACTCCACTTATAATGAAGTCGCATATAGCAAATTTCGTGATTAGCGAACCATTGTCCTTGTCCCTGTTTGAACCCATACAAAATAGCCCCCATATAGCGAACAGTTTTCGTTTATGACGAAACAAATCTTGTAGGGTCGCATGTAAACCAAGTGCACTCATACTGGCATGCGCCACTTGCCAGTCATGACTTGCTGCTCGTATAGTGTGAGTGCATTTCTGGTATAACGAACGTCGGCTATAAAGACCTAATTCTCCTGCACAATGGTGTTCGTTATATCAGGATTCGACTGTAGTTGCAGGGTCTGAGTTTCCTGCCCAACGGCGATCTACAGGCAAGCATGTGAAGACTCAGCACCCAGTGTGTTGAGCACTATTATAATTTATTACAACAGCAGTTGCTACCTTATAAGCAAGAGAAAGAAGTGCCAGTAATTACAGAGTGCACGGCAGTGTAACAGCTGACAACTTGTCAGAATGTCCAAGAAAGGATTCATCCTGCGGGTCAGCAAAAATCAAGACATGAAAAAGACACACTCCTATCAAATAACACGTGCTGATCAACTATCTACCTTGAAGAAAGAAATTAACCAAAGTAAAATAAAAGATGCACGATTTCTTGATTCATGGCTAAGGGTTCGTCCATAATTATCGAACTTTTTTCACAAAACGAAATAATTTCGTTATGGGGTGGGAGGGTGTTGACCAATTTCGTTTCAGAAAACATTGATACATGTACATGGCCGTTGGAGCAGTGACACACTTGCAACGTCGCTTGTACATGCATGTCTGTCAACATTTTTGTTACGTTCTTAGGCAACACATTTTTATTTCTATGTTTCTCGTCACCCGCGCGCATACGATTCAGGAGTCTGGAAGAAAAAAAGAAAAAAACTGTGCTGCACGGACTGTGCATGTGGGGACCAGCACACTCATGCACATGCACATAATGTGGCCTGGCCTGCGCGACACATGATGCAAGGACGGCATTTTTTATTGCTGCACATGCACATATTGTGACAGAACTCCTACCACAGACTAGTTGCTAACTATGGATGCTATTTTGCAGGTGCATTGGTGGATTTTAGTGTGAACAAAGGTCTAATAAACTTTTTTTTATTTTTTTCCACCTCTCGCATACGTTTTTAGATTTTCAGGTGACGAGAAACATAGAAATAAAAACGTGTGGCCTGAGGGGGAGGGAGGGATTGGATGTAAACCAAAATAATTTGTTTGGTGAAAAAAGTCTGATAAGTACGGACGGCCCCTATAAAAAGCAATGACGAAAGTATGAACCGAAACTCAACACACCTTTCCGTTGCGTCCGCAGCTTTCTCAATCACAGGAAAGCCTCCGAGGGGAATCATGTCTGTTCGTATCAGTGGAAGAATATATCCATAATGGTGAGGGGACACACACACACACACACACACACACACACACACACACACACACACACACACACACACACACACACACACACACACACACATAGAAATAAACAAAGTCAGGTCAATACGGTTGCACAGAGAAATCCATAGCAAGTATGGTGAGTGCATGCACAAGCATACATGAATAAAGTTAGTCCAAGGTACCGTGTCGGTGAAAGTCCACAAACAAGAACGTATTTACTTTCGAATTTAGGGGGCGTTCGTTTTTGATCTACAGGTTTATCCCTCAGACCAGTTTGGTAATGGACATCTTGAACGGCAAACCACTACCATATGTGCCAGCAGAGTTTCGGTGTGTGGTGTTTAATATGCTCTGTTCATTGTCACATCCTGGCATACGGACCGCCACCCAACCCATTATTGGATTCCACTATGTGGGCCCAACATGCAGCAGGGCACCTGACAATGAACTAAAACCTATATCGCTGGCCAGCTGTCAATTAAAAAAAATTACTTCACAGCAGTAGACGTAAAGAATACGGCAACTACCAATGACTTATGGAAGCCTCAAGGTGTTGTCAAAAAGGGAAGCATTTTACTCACAAACCTACACCTCTTACCATTGGCGTTATCAATGTTTTCACACATGTCACACAGTGCCTCAAGCGCCTCCGTGCCCCGTTCAACGAGCTCTTCATGGACCTGGTTGTCGAGGGACGATGGCTCACCGATGCTTGCCGTCACACGATCCACAATGGCTAGGTTTGTCTTCATCATGTCTGCTTCGGTCGGCGCGTTTTGCATCCCTGCCAAGGCACTGCGAAGAAACTCCCGGCGCTATAACAGAATCAAGCAGAACAATTTAGTTTCAAAGGCAAGTAGTATTGTGCACACTGCGATCTAAAACAGAGGGTAGTACCAGTGCACATGTGTGCTTAGCGGTATGTATGCTTGCACTGTACTGACGAGAGAGCCAACTCCGGACCCTCCCTGTGCGTGTGTGACGGTGCCCGCCGTCTGCTGTGCTGCTGCTACGTCACCTACAACAACTCTGGCCTGCTCAGTCATGTGTGACGGTGGCCAGTCGGTTACGTGGTGATGGCAGGCCCGAATGTCAGCCCGTACTACACACACACACACACATGGCAGGCCCGAATGGCAGCACATACACATACACACACACACACACACACACACAAGACCTGGCTAGCGCCGGACTCTACTGTTCGTTATGTCTTATGCATAGCTTCGGGAATTACACGTAATTTGTTTAGTCCTCCATTTCATTTCCATTTCAATCCAGATAAAAAATACTCTAGCACTGCAAGTTAATTGTTGAATTTCCATTTTCACTCTCACCCACCTCCTCAGACATCACCCCGGTAGCCGCCGTCTCTGTCCTGTTTTCGTCTTGCTGTGCTGGCTGCTGTTCGATAGACCAACGTAAAATACCTTGAAGGCGACTCATTTCAGCGTTTCCATCTCCTGACCCAGCCATTTTGCTTCTAGCTTTCAAACAACCTCCCTACTTTCGTCGAATACCACGCTACACAGTGATCAAGCAGATTCAGTACAGAAAACTAGTAATAATGGCTGTAAAGAAATTAAAATCCTCCACGCTGTGAACCAGAGAACAGTAGATTACGAAGATCTCGACCAACGTTTTCAACTTTTGTTACTTTTCATGCTGTGTGAAATTATTTGAAAACTGCAGAATGGAAAGAGCAAGAATGTTGTGGAAAGTAAAGAGCATGACTCCTTTTTTTACTGCACCGGCCGGTACCACTGTACCCGTACTCGTACAAAACACACCCGGGATTTCCCCCACATGACTCATCGCCGATATTTTGAATTCTTGGTCTGTACAATCTGCACCAGAGCAGAGCTTCTTTGAAGATGCCTTGATGGACTTTCACTTTGTTTGACACTCGCAAACATATTCTATTTCCTCTCTATTTGCTGCTGTTGATGCCTTGGTCAAGTTGGTGCAGTACTAGTGGATACAGAAACGTAAGTTAGTTCGATTATTCTACAACTTAAGAATATTAAATTTTTATTGAGCAAGCTATAAGCTTAGCTTGGTTGGAGTCAGAAACGGTGATCCCAAAGAAAACAGCTCAGTTACTCTCTAATTCTCCATACTGCAGTATGCACACAAATGCGAATTACCGTAATGGCAAAATTCCATTCGAATGGGGTTTGGATGTTGAACTCAAGCTAAGGATTTCCTTTGCTGAGCAGGATGGCACGCAAGCAACAAAACAAAAAAAACAAAAAAACGCTACTCTAACTGTTAAAATACTGTCTATGAGGCTTTTAGTCACTGCCTGCCATGGCACCCTACATTTTACCCAAATTAAACAAGTCGCTAAAATTGCGACTGTGCAAGGCATTTGTCTTAGCAGTCCTGGGCTGCAGCAACTAGACTATAGGGACTCACTGACACTGCCATGCCGTGACAGAGTTGATGCCTTCCACGGATAGCAACTGCGTAAAATCATCGGCATATGGTATCCAGCTAAGATCAAGAACACTACCCTGTACAAGAGGACAAACTCAACACCATAAGACATGTTATTATAACGGGTCGCAACTTTAACGCTTGTCCAAAATGTATAGGTTAACGAGAAGATACGTTAACGATCTTGCAATCTTCAGGCATATACGGAGACTCCCTCGATTTAGGCTAAGGGGCCGTCCGTAAATACATGTATTTACTTAGAGACGTCTAAGAGGCGTTTCTTTCTTGACCCACCCACCCACCCCCAGAAACGCCCCCCAAAAATGCAGATAATGCCACTACTAAACACCATACTATGCACACATATTATAGTCCAGTCGACTGCACACATATTATAGTCCAGTCGACTGCACACATATTATAGTCCAGTCGACTGCACACATATTATAGTCCAGTCGACTGCACACATGTTATAGTCCAGTCGACTGCACACATATTATAGTCCAGTCGACTGCACACATATTATAGTCCAGTCGACTGCACACATATTATAGTCCAGTCGACTGCACACATATTATAGTCCAGTCGACTGCACACATATTATAGTCCAGTCGACTGCACTTATACCGAACTTGCCTATAGCGAATTTCGTGATAGCGAACCCTTGTCGTTTGCGGTTCAGAGTTGAACCTGAAACCAAGACCAAGGATCCTGTTTCATACCTACATGACTTGTACATTATTTAGAGCAAGAGTATAACCCTCTTGGTACTACATGTACATATACTGTCCCCGGGGAAAATTGCGGAAAAAATCGCAAAAACGCGGGAAAAAACGCGGCATAATAATTAATTTCACGGTTTGCGTGAGACTCGGCTGAAAGCCGAGTTTTCAGCATCCGCCGTGGGAACGCCACCACCCTCTAGGATAAAAAAAACGCGGCATAATATGGCATATTTTGCGGTGAATTTGCGGTAAATATGCGGTGAATATTATTGATATCATCTCGCGGCGGCAAGTTTGCAGTTGATATGAGGCAATTTTCAGTGAGTATGTAGTGAAATCAATCAGTTACAAGTCTCTGGTGTAAGCGCTCGTCATATTTGAGTACAAAGCCGCCACCGGATGAGACGTTGCTGACCGAACAGTGCACTGTGTGTACGTGTAGTGCAACAGAAAAGTTCAAAAATCGCGGAAAACGCGGTCTTTTAAAAATCGCAAAACGCGGAAAAAACGCGCCCGCGGAATCGCAATTTTCCCCGGGGACAGCATATAGCTGTAGCAGTGCTACATCATGTATATGACACCATGTACACGTGTAGTATGGTATGCATGCACTCCGAAATATATATTTTTAGAAACGCCTTGCAGGCGAACCCACCCACCAGAAACGCCTCTTAGACGTCTCTAAGTAAATACATGTACAGTAGGTATCGGCAAGAGTATATATTATACTCTTGGTATCGGTTATAGCGTGGGTGTTTGAAAAACGATGTTCTATTCTTATTTCCGATATCTCTTACACACGATAAATATAGCGTGACGTATCATATGCATGTGCGCATAGCCAGGAAGATCATCATACATGCAACGTAGTGCTGCTGTGTATGCGGTTGCTCATACCTCCAAAGTAGTCCCATACTGGGCGGGCCATAGGTTCACCATGTGGCTGAGCAACATGAGTTACATGACCACAACAGATGCACTTGCAGCATTATGATGCATTTCGAGTCGGTTCAGAACTGTATCGGGCAGATGTTATTACTACAGGCGATACACTTTGGACTAATCTGGCATGTTTTGCTACACAAAGTCCATTCTTAGGACCGATATAGTTCTATTACTTGTCCCCACAGAATTACGCGGACAAAATCTTAAAATTATGCGCATAATTATGCGGGCGAATTTGCCAGGCAGGCACAGTGGGTTGGTCAAAGATCATGATTGAGATACGAGAGGTACCTGGTTCAAGTCCTGCCTGGGAGCGGTTTTTCCAGCCATGCTGCTACCCACAGTCAACTGGGAACTTGTGGCCAGGCACAAGGGGTACATGGATGCAGCTAATGGGGTCGCTTTCGGCACTTGTGCCAGTGGTTGTGAGACTTACCCACTCACCCCCACCGTTAGGCGCTGCATCTGCCGCTAGGGTTTATCGGGTGTTAGCGGCCGTCGTGAGTTCCCTTCGGGAACGGATACGATAATTTACTCTTTTTTTTTTATGCGGGCGAAAACAGCCCATTATGCGGCAAATATGCGGGATTGTGCGGCAAATATGCGGTATATTGCGGTCATTATGCACGAGTTATCTGTCATTTGTACAACTTTAGCGTGCAGTTTCATGCAAGTACTTGAAGTATACAACTTTGTCGTACAAACTCATGGACCGGTACGACTTTGTAGTACATTTTCAACATCATGTACTATTTTCTTGTACATTCCCGTGAATAACGCGGGTTTTATGCAAAATCTCTCGAAAACGCGGATGAAAGCCAATAACGCGGAAAATTGCGCGTCCGCGGAATCGCAGTATCCTGTGGGGACAGTATTACACGATAACATTGCTTGTAAGAATAAATATACACATGAAACCCATGTTATGATTATGAAAATATGAGAGTTCATTCTTGTAGGCAGTATATTCTTTTACACGACCACACTATAACCAATACGCACTGTATTTACGGACCTGTGGAGAATCCATAGATAATAATATTCGCGGGATCCGCGTTAGCATCACTTGAATGTTCAGAAACACACAAGCTATAGCCTTCGCTTCCGCAGGCCACCACTATGCCTTTACACCTTAATGGCGAATGCAGACCTCACAAGTGAGTCAGGGGAGAGGAGGTGAGTCTCTCAACCAATCGGGCGTGTAACGGCCCATAACCCTGTAAACTGCATCCTTGTTATCCTCACTCGAGCTGTGAGTACCCAGTTGACCGTGGGTTTCGGCGCAGTTCAACACGCGTAAAAAGTCTTTTTACACGCTCCTTGCTGCCAGCGCGGGTCTCGAACTCGGGACCTCATGATTCGCAGGCAGGCCTGAAAACCAATCGGCCATATGCGTTGGTCTAGAGTTGGCATAGATACAAATACAAAATCCACACCTAACACATATGAGGCTTAAAAGCCTGCTGGCGTCTGTTTGGGCACGTGCTGCGGCTGGACCAGAATACACCAGCGAACCTGTCAATGTGCTCCTACTTCAAGCCATCTGCTGAGTCTACCTGGAGGAGCAGGGGCCCGCACAACTCGGCCGGTCGTGCTCAGACACGATCTCCAGCTAGTTGGAAGGACAATTTCAAAGTGTTGGTCCAGGAACTGGCGGGCACACCTCACCTGCCATTTCGCTGAATAGCTAAAGTGTGGAGCCAGTATCAGAGAGGGTATTAGCGAAAAGCGAGCCAACATGTGTGTGAAAGACTCAGCAGCGGCCATAGTTCCCAGTAAAGTACATCTGTACAGCATACACACAAGCTCACACATGCATGTACAGCACATGCAGTGCTGCCAAACCGTCCGATTTTTCGGACAGTGTCCGATTTTTGAAGGCTCTTCCGAAAAAGGAAACGTCCGAAAAGTAGCCAAAAATGTCAGGGTTCAATACTTTCCTATTCAGAAGTCCTGTATTTTCACTTTTCAGGGCAACTGAAGGCACAAATCAGTCTGTCATGTGCTTCTAAAAAGGCTAGCGCTTTGAAGAAGTGGAAATGCAAAGTACGAGGGCATGTACACTGTACAGTGTGTGACCACACTCATGCATTACCAGAATTCAGGCATGGCAACAAATTACTTCGGTGTGCAAGATCGGTTACCATGGCAACGAAGCGACTTTCCATGGTATTTTGGGCGGTATTTGAATTCTCCGGAAAAAATTGCTGAGGAGAAAAATTCGCACCATGTGGCCAGCCTAGCTTGGCGATGAAGGGTGTCCGATTTTGGGCGAAAAATATTTGGCAGCACTGTACATGTATGCGGATTGCGGGGGGGGGGGGGGGTAGATCACATGTGGCACTTCAAAAGGAATTGGATTGTTCGTTCAGGAAGGGGAGGGTTCAGTAGCCGAGAAAGCACTGTGCTGCAGTGTAGGGGGTTATGTACTCTTGGCACTATACTGCAGTGAATGGTAACGTTATTTTAACTTATTTTCTTTCGTGCTTTGTCCTCACTCTTCAGGTTGAACTGGCAGAGCTGCATGACTTTGTCCATCTAGGAAAAAGCCATGACAGCAGCTGCAGAGGCCTGTCACCGTACCCTTGTAGTGTTTGATTTCGATCAGTCGCTGCTTGAGGATGATACAGATCGCTGGTCAATGAAACTTGGCGGTGACGAGGCAGCTGCTTTGCGGGCCTCACGTGGACGAGATGATTGCTGGACAGGTGGGTAGTCGTATGACAAGACCCCTTATTGTGATCTGTGTGTGTGTGTGTCTGTGCATGTGTGTGTGTGTGTGTGTGTGTGTGTGTGTGTGTGTGTGTGCATGTGTGTGTGTGTGTGTGTGTGTGTGTGTGTGTGTGTGTGTGCATGTGTGTGTGTGTGTGTGTGTGTGTGTGTGTGTGTGTGTGTGTGTGTGTGCATGTGTGCATGTGTGTGTGTGTGTGTGTGTGTGTGTGTGTGTGTGTGTGTGTGTGTGCATGTGTGTGTGTGTGTGTGTGTGTGTGTGTGTGTGTGTGTGTGTGTGTGTGTGTGTGTGTGTGTGTGTGTGTGTGTTGCTGGTACTGAAGCTTCGTGCAGATCAGGATACTTTATGTGTGTGGAACACACACTGTGCTAACAAAAACAGTGCTCCTGACTACCACCATCATCGGTTGGCAGAGCCCCGGCCTTGACGACCATTTGCATAGTCAGGAGCACTGTTTTTTTCTCTCAGCACAGTGCGTCCTGCGCCTTGTAATGATTATGTGCTGTCAAACAAAATAACCATGTTATCTATCAACTAGGCTTGGCTTACATATACAACACTGTGTGGCACGGTTGTTCTGCCACTGCAGATCTGATGGGTGAGATATTCGCGGTGATTCATAGCAAAGGTGTTGGAAGGGAGCAGTTTGAAGCGCACATGCAAGGCATGGTTATTCACACCGACATGCTGGCTGCATGTAAACTGATGGAAGGCCGAACCGATGTTGACTGTTTCATTCTGTCCGACTCCAACTCAGTGTTCATCGATGTCCTTCTCGAGCGCTACGTCTTGAAAAATCTGTTCAAGCGTGTCGTCACCAATCCAGCTCACTTTGATGAAAATGGTTGCTTGCGCATTCAGCACTGCCATTCGCATTCCTGCGCCACCTGTGTGCTGAATCTCTGTAAAGCAGAGTTCATGAGTGAATTCATAGCCACCACGCCATACGCACGGAAGGTTTACATTGGCGATGGCGGCGGCGATCTTCATGCAGCGTTGCAGCTCTCGCCAGGTGACACTCTCCTGGCACGGCGAGGCTATCCTCTCATGAAGAAGCTGGCAACTCCGGCGGGGCAGGACTTCAAAGCCAATCTTGTGCCTTGGGACAGTGGAACGGATGTTCTGAGCTGGTTCCAGAAACACTTATCAAGCTAGTCACTGTGCAGCTAGTGAGACTATCTATCATAACTAGAGTACACTCCTCACAGTCTACAGTCATCCGTAGTAGCTGTCCGTCTAGCCATTACACATAGTATTACATTATACCCTTTAATACCCTGTCATAGTATGCTGTGCATATTTTCAGGTTCACATTTTAGAAGCTGTTATTGTTATTTATTTAGTAGTAATACATGTACACGTAGATAATGTACTTGAAGTCCAGGGTGGTTGGTGTCTGCTGGTCGGCATTGTCTTCTTGTAGAACTGAACTCGTACATACAATGATACAATACAATTGAATGTATCATAGCCTTGTATACATGTACTGTCACATGGTGATGTACACTGTAGAGTATAATGTTATCTCTTATTTATTCTGGCACATGCACACTTAATTTTCAACACCAATGCCTCTACGCACACTTCCGTGTGTTTCCCCTTGCATGCAAAGAGTGCATGGGATCACAAGAGAAACTGCAAACATGTGAAGTCAATCGGAATGATTCTTTCTCAAGCCATGTTTGTTGATGCCAACAGCGAGTACAGTGCAGATTATAATACGTGTACATGCATAAGTAGTGCTCTTGCTAAAATGAACACAGATCTACTAAAGTGCCTCGAAAACGCACGCTTCGCAGCAAAATACAAGAGTATAGAATTCTAATGAAATAATAAAAAAACACAGACTTAGCATAATATATGGATACAATTGTAACATTCTAGACATGTGAAGAGAGTTAGTGTCATGACTCAAGCTATGATGGTACACGCAGATTTATATGTTCATGAAGATCAACAAGTGTTTCGTGAATGGCCTAGGTTTTATGAGATTGAATGTGCTTGTACCAGCAGAAGATGATATCTCTGGCAGCAGAAGTGGCAGCAAAGTGCTGCGGGCGGTCATCACGGTGTTGCCAGTAAGTGCATGAATGTGTATGCCTACACACAAACAATGGCGTTATGTACACGTATCTTGTGATTGTGAATGGCCTAAGTTTTATGGGAATGATTGCTTGCTAGTTTCAAAGATGATATAGTCCGGGATGGCTGTTTCAGCAGAGTGCAAATTGTCACCAGAAGAAGAAGAAAAAGCTATTCAACCACAGCAATGTTCGTGTGCAGCAATGGCATGCTACTCAGTTGGTTTCTCAGTGTTGGCTGCTACAAACGACTCGAACACCTCCTTCTCCTGTGCCGTGACAAGCTCAAGTTGAGACACCAGCTGGTCGAAAACCCCTTCCATCTTCCCCAGGTCTTCCTGTTGCTTTTCTTCCAGATCAGCAATTTCCGATTCGACCTAACCGTTGAAACACACGTACACGTCACAAAGAGCTCACTTACCAAATTCCCATTATTGTGTTAGAACACTGTACATGCCTAGCATAGGGCTAACCTTAAATGAGTGCACATGCTTTCAATCTGGCACCAGGCCTGCACAGCACCTGCAGGATAGAACTAAAACTACATGTAGTTTACAGTTGCCCACACTGATTTCAGGTCTCCCTCTCACACTGATTTCAGGCATAACACCTGTGGTGGAGCTCTCGGTCCTCATTTGTGCTTGTCTAAACAAATGCGTGTGCGTGTCTCCCTCTCGCGCGCGCTCGCACACACACACACACACACACACACATACTCTCTCTCTCTCTCTCTCTCTCTCTCTCTCTCTGACTCCGCTCAGAGTTAGACTAGGTTTTTAGGTTTAATTACACACACACACACACACACACACACACACACACACACACACGCGCGCGCACACACATACACGCAGGAGCGCTGAAGGGCTACAGTTACAGTGCTATCATCAACACTCACCTCTTGACAGGCGTCTAGATATTTGTGACTCTCGCACACCTGATGCTCGACGTCCGCCATGATCTGCTGCTCCTGCTCCTGGTGTTGCTGTATGCGCTGACGCACACTCTCACATTGCATTCGCACATGCTGCTGCTGGCGCGTAAACCGCTCCATCTCTTGCTCCTGCTCTTCTTTCAGGCTCTGCATCTGCAGCGTCAAGCGCTTTAGATGCAGCCGCAGGTCGTCCATGTCCGTCTTCATGTTGGTGTTGTGTCGCTCCATTCCCACCATGCCCTGCTGTTGCTCGCTCAGCTTGGTGACTTGCTCACGCTGCACCGACACCTCGGCCACCAGCTTCTGCAGCTCGCCGCGGTGGTGCAGGCAGTTCTGACGACGCTCGCCCTGCGCCGCCGCCTGCCTTCGCAGCTCGGCCACTTCCTGGCCTAGCTCTGCAATCTGCGCCTTGCGACGGTCCGGCGAGACGACGATGTGTGCTCTCTGGTCCTCGCTGGCCTGCTTGCTCTTGGCGTTATCCACCCGCTGACCTTCAAGCTTCACCTGCTGAGCGGCGCTGCTTTCCTTCAGTTTAAGCAAGTTGGCACGCAGCTCACTCTGGTGCAGGTTCAAATGCTCCAGGTCTGCCTGCAGTTGTGCAGCGATATCTGTCAGGCGAAACATCTCCGGTTCGTCACTTCGCCGCTCCTCTTCCAGCGCGGCGAGCTGGTCCTGAAGACGACGCAGACGCTCTTCTTTGGCAGAACTCTCTTTGCGGAGCACTGTCAGCTTCTTCTCGATGTCATGCAGCTTCTCGTCGTTTTGCATGCAATGGCGCAAGTAGTTGATCAGGCAGTTCATTATGATGCGTGTGCGCTTGCGTTCGGGCATGATTAGATCTCCCATATCTACGGGAAACGGCACCAGAGCATATTTACAACACAATTTTAAGCATTTGAGCAGCCGTAGCCTCAACGTGTGTTCCTCGTATAGGTGCGGGTGATCCAGGATCTGTGCGGCGGCAAAAGGCAGGCTCTTGGGTATAGGCACGTCCAGGATACGTTCCGAAATCTCGCTCAGTATGGGTATAAACACTTGGCTGGTTGGCTCTTTCAAGTCATTCACAGTGAACTGGCAGTTCTCTTTGTCTCCCATCAGGGCTCGCACAGTGAGCAGGATGTCATCCGTGGTAAGTTTGCACGTCGTCATCTTCAAAAAGCGTACAGTTCTATTTACTTCACGGCGAGGCTAATCCCACCAGCAGGCTACACAGTTCTATTCCAACAAAAACGAATAATTGTAAACATTGCTCGGAAGAGAAGGTGAAGAGTACATACACGTACACGATGTCTTTCTTCTTTTCAAAAGTGTCACCTTCTTTCGCTTCAAAGGATCCCGCGGGCAGCGGCTGTTCTCATGGAAACAACAGACAGAGCTCGACACTCAGAGTACTACATTTTGTCTAAAAAAGTACTTCTTCGACGTCACGACACCTGTCATGCATGCTTGGGGTTTGCATGGTTTGTGAAAGGGCACCCAGACTGCACCACAAAGTCAAACTCAAAGACACCAATAGTCCATAACCCCCCGGGGGGTTATGTACTATTGCTACCACAAGAGTAGATCTACTTGTCTTTGTACAAGTCATGTAGTAAATGACTGACACTCTACAGTCTCTTGGTTCCATCCATGTATCTGATGAAAAAATGCTTGAACTCCACAAATGGTACCAACATAATTCGATCGGCTGGCAGCATGAATACAAGGCGGAGGACAGGACACACCGTGCTGAAAACAGTGCTCCTGACTACAATTGCCTTACAACAATGCTGTCAACCGATCAACATGCTAATCAAGTAATGAGTACTACAGTGCTGGCAACTGAAGTATGTAGTACCAGCCTAGCACCTGCAAACTTCACTGTATAGTGTAAGTGCATTGTCATTCACAGTTTGACAATGTTGATCATGAAATACCATGTTTTACAGGGTAAAACAATTGTTCTAATAGACCAGCAAGGAGTCTTATCCAAACCATTATTTTTTTGGTTCAACTTCCTAATTTCCTAACATCAAAACAGAACAAAATGTTGTCGACATACAAGTTATAATATTCTTTCACAACAATTCTGAGTTGGATTCAAAAAACACCGTTAGCGCCATGTTATCTTCAGTGAATCTACATGTACATTGATAGTCCATTGTGTTGGTGAGTATGTCATATTAATAATAATGATTATTGTTCTATATGGAGGCTCGGAGAGGAAACTACGGTTCCTCCTGTGCAGGCCGACACTGCCACTGGGCGGAGAGCACAATAACCATGATAACAGTGCCAGGTCCCTGGACCGTGTAGAACCATGCCTGCACAGCTCATACAACAACTACTACAGTCATGCTGGTATCCAAAACGGATACAAGTACAGTCATGTGCACCAGTAGCAAGAGTGATTAATCAATGTCACTGTGTAGATAGGCTGCATGTGCTGCAAAAGCAACACTCAATTCATCCTAAAATATAATAATTGTAATAATAATAATAAAACACTATGGAAAGTGAAGTGTCCCACCGAAAATGACTACGAGTATATCGGAGAATAGAAAATAATAAAAGTATAGCGCAGCTATGTTCATCAGAATTTGCACAGTCTTGACCAGCAATGTACACAGCACATAATTATTAGAAAATTATACACGTATATGTAGCAGTACGGGCTAGGAGTCAGACATTTTAGAGAAACGCCTGACCTCGTTCTTTCCTTCATGCCATCCAGCTGCATCATGAGAACAAGAGAGTGAGAGAAACAATTCTGATTCATGTACTCATAAAGCAATGGTGCATTGCCAAGCCAAACGCTTGCTACAAAAGTCATAGCTAGGGAATTTCTGGTATTTCAGGTTCATGAGCAAGGAGCGCTTGCACATTTGCAACGCGGACAGTCATGGGCCCTGCGTTATTCTGCTATTCCCACATAGTGTGTGATGGCCCTTCAACCCAGTGACCCTGTACGTTCAAGAACACACGCACACTCACACGTACAGTCACGCGCGCACACACACACATACACACCACACACACACACACACACACACCTTTGACCTTTGACCTTTGACGCCCATCGCCGGAGGCGATGATAGCAATGCTACGGCAGAAGCCATAGCAACTTGTGCTGGGATTACACCATTCAACAGCTTGCAAGGCTGAAGAATTGACCGTCACTATTCAGCCTGGTCTACACCATACAGCTATTTGGAGTGACATTTTCTGGCCAGTGAATCCCTATTTTTGGTCTTTTTCATTTTTTTTTTTTCCCGCACACACATCACACCACATACTCCGGCATGCACTGGCTGTTGGTAACCACCCAGGAGAATGAAAGAAAAGTCAGGAAGAGTCTGAGAAAGAGAAGAAAGACGTGTGTGACCATAATCGTCGGGAATCGAACCCGCAATCTATCGATTGGAAATCGCTGCACATACCACTGCACCATATGGGACACACACACACACACACACACACACACACACACACACACACACACACACACACACACACACACTCAAACATAAACACATGCAATACATCACAATGTGTCTAGCCACTCACCCGCAGAAGGGTCATACTGCAAGGAGCGGCGAAGCTCAGGATCAGTCAGTATTAGCAGCAAGCTAATTCTTTCCTCAGCCTTGAAGCAGAGCATGCGGGACAGTAGACGACGTACAATTTTCCAGCTCTGCAACGAAAGAGAGTAGAAAGTGGAAGTAGACAAGAGCGTGACTCAGGGGGGAGTGGACCCTGATACCATACAAGTGTCACGCCGGGCTGCTCGTTCCAGGCACACATGGGGCAGGGTTGATTTGTTTAGGCTCTTGCAGTATGCCATCACTGATGTGGGCCGCGCTTGGGGTTAGCAGGCCACGGAATCGAGCTCGACTGCGTGATGCAGACACCATGGATCGCAAAGAACATGCCAATCCAGGGTCGAACGCGCATCATTTCGGGCACAATGGCCTAATGTCATCATCTCCTTAGATGCCTGCTAGCTCCCTGACACACACTATAGATACAAATTATGAGCATCTCACCGGTGGGATTTCTTCATCAATCAGTTTCGGAATATCGGGCAGCGCGGGCATGTTGACAGCACCAGCTTGTGGATTCATTGCCTCTGCTGCTGCAAGACCAAGACCATGTTTTCTATCCTGTTCAAATGGACAGGAAAGTGAGAAAACATCTTCAACATGAGATAAATAGACAGACCGACAGACAGACAGACCGACAGACAGACAGACAGACAGACAGACAGACTGACTGACAGACAGACAGACAGACAGACAGACAGACAGACAGACAGGCCGATAGGCAGACAGATATAAGAAGATAGAGAGATAGACACGCAAATATACACACACACACACACACACAAACAAACGAGGCAACTTACAGGTAGAAGAACGCCAAACTTATTCGACATATCCAGCAGCACACATCCAATTGACCAGATATCTGAGAGGAAGTTATAGCTGGACAGAAGAATAGCAAACACAGTCATGAGTAAACCACAAACCAATGAGAACACACAGAGATGGGGATACACAACAAATACAGGGAATCAAACCAGCCACTTAAGTGAACTCTGCCAAAGTAAATGTGTTAGCGATGACAGCCAAAAATAAAACCATCAATCTACTTTCCCATTTTCTCGGACCACTCCCCCATAACTGGATGTGGAGTTGAAGGGAGGGGTAGAAGGAGAAATGGTTCTATCAGGGTTTAATCTCCATTTGCTGTAAGTGACCACAACTGTGACAAGTCGATGATCACAACTGTAGTTAGCCATTTGGGCCGTCAGCTCACGATAGTGCAGGCGTGGGTGCCTATACTAATAGAGCGGTTGCACTCGTTGCCATGTGATTGCGCTTGGGTAGAAACTTTCAACTAGAAAGTGTACACGACATGCGGACAGTGGAACCAAAGTGGCTCATTCTTCACGCGACGTGTGACCTACTGATGCAGAGATAAACTGGAGTTGGAACTGATCAGAGAGTCATAGAAACCCAGGCTTACGGTCCTGAGGAACTCCCGTGGCAACCCCAGAATGTGCCGACTTTTTCAAGTTGTTTTCCCCAGAAATGCTTTGACCCCCAACAGCCGTTGCAGGTCACATAGCGCAGATCATTAACGAGTCCTTGCGCACTGGAACGGTGCCAGAAGTGTACAAATTGGCAACAGTGTGCCCTGTTCACAAGTCAGGGGCAAATCGAAGCATCGAATTATGGCCCCGTTTCACTTTTGCTGATTGTTCATAAGATTCTTGAGATGGTAGTACATCGGCAAATGACTCGGTTCCTTCAAGACCATGCTGAGCTTCGAATTCTCCCCGACGAGCAATTCGCCTACCGGAGAGAACACAACTGCGAGGATGCGTCAACTCTTGCAGTAAACTGCTGGATGATAAGTGTGGACAAGGGCGCATATTGCGCGGTTGTACTCGTGAACATGAGTAACGCCTTCGATCGGGTACGTCGTGAACTACTCCTCAATGACCTACAAGCCATTGGCTTAAGCGGAGTAGCACTCCAGTGGTTTGCCAGCTAGCTGCAAGGTAGATGACAACACGTGAGAATTGGAACGAACCGAGGAAACGACTCGTTACGAGACACATTGTTTGTGAGGCGTCCCCCAAGGGTCGGTGCTAGGGCCTCTATTATTCTCTCTGTACGTGCGCCATGTTCTTGGGATACTTTGCCACGCACAGTCCCAACAATTTGCTGACGATATAGCTTTTTATATGCACTGTAAGTCTACTGGAGAACTCCGGCAAAAGTTGACCAGTGATTTCAACATACTAAATACGTACCTCGGAAGCATTGTCTCATCTTGAATGCCCAGAAAACGAAGTTTGTGGTGCTTCAGAAAAAGGCTCTGCCTTTTCCTCCGGATCTTGTCATTGGACGCGGTGGTGTCGAGATTCAACCTTCTGCCACAGCACGTTATCTTGGCCTTATTATTGATGAGCATTGATTTTAACCTTGGAGGATCAGGTCGACCATGTATGTATATCTGTTTATAAGAAGATAGGAGCATTCCGCCCCTGCCGCCGTACATAAGATCACACAACTAAGCGAATCTTTTAATTATCCCTGCTCCAATCCACTATTGAATATGCCAGCAACTCGTATACTCACTGTCTGACAACATCTTCATACTCTCACCTTGTTACACTACGTCATATCAGCATGAAAAAGGATTTTGGGTCTCCCTCACCATACTCCGACTGCCTTTGTGTTGCAGCACGCTAAGTTGTACTCCCTCGAATCTCGCCTAAACTTGAGGCTTTTAATTTGTTTCCCGCCGTATTCATAAGCTTACAAGTCCTCTTCTTTCCTCAATGTTCACCATCCAGTCGGCTGCTACTTGCACCGAGAGGCGCACTAGAGGGCAGTCCTTCTCATCACTTTCTTTGCCCGGCGCTGCTAACACTAGATATGGCATGTTCTCTATTTCTGTCCTTGGCACAGCTTGGTGGAATTCTCTACCTGTCTCGTGTCGTGAAGTTGAGCATCTATCCGTTTTTGTTTCGCTCTGTAAAGAGCACTTAGGGCTCCCTGTAACAAGACGGCAACGTCTGTAGGGCCTTCCCTATCAAAATAATAAATTCTACTAATAGTACTAGTAACAGCTAGAGTACAGAAGAGCTGATTCTGATCAACTGTCAATGTACATGTACATGATATACGGCGAGACAAGCCCAAAAATAGATAAGAAAGATGCGCCCAGCGTCAGCGAAGAATTGATCAGACTAGTGATCAACAAACCGCGATTTCCACGGTACCAAAGTGATAGCTTCCACACACGCAAACAGTTCAAGGCAAGAAAAGGATGGAAAAAAAAGAATGACTGATGGCAGCGGTGGGATTCGAACCCACGCCTCCGGAGAGACTGGAGCCTTAATCCAGCGCCTTAGACCACTCGGCCACGCTACCAAGGACGATCATTAGATTTCCTGATCACATTTTGATAATAATTCTTGAGATGCAGGTCGGCAAGAATGCAAGATCATTACAGCCAATTTGGAAACTTGGACAACTCCCCCCCCCCCCTCCCCCTGAATAAAACAGCACTGGACGCTGCACGAAACTGGTCCTATGAACACTGCACCGTACACAGTTACACACAAACATGTCACTTATTCATTCACGTCTGTGAATTCCACTGGCCAGGGCCATCTACAGTAGTCATGATCACAGGTGTCGGATCAGTCAGCACTATCACATAACCAGTACCATAGAGGCTAGCGGGTCATTCCGCACAGCTGAGCACAGTCACCTACCCGACAGGCGGGCCTCCGTGTATATGGTTCATGTAGGACAAAAACAGCTCCGGAGCCATGTACGGTGGAGTACCTGCGGCAGTACCACAAGAAAACAAAGGCAAAGAAAACAAGTGGGAGAGAAGGTAGTTTGATCAACAGGTACTGCCACGTACACAGTTCTAGGATGCGTGAGATGTAAGTGAAATCCCCTTTATCAAGGCCTTATACCGCGAAGAATGATGCAAGTAAACAAGAAAAAAGTGGTAACCGTCCAGCGAACCTACCGACTCGGCTGACCGTACTTTTTGGCAAACGTCCATAAACTTAATGCAAGGTGGCACATCACCCAAAAATGCTAAAAAATCGAAATCTCCCCGAAGTGGATTTTGTTGCTGGTTTCTGGTGGTATGTGCCCTGAAGAATGCTCTGTGAAAATTTGAGGTCAATCGGTTGCACCAATCCGAAGTTATGGAGCATTGAAGTTGCGCTATGCAATTGTGATTGAATACCAAAATTTGAAAAACTTCAACTTTTAGGAAATTATAATGAAACTTCAAAATAGTGGTGGATTTCGCTCAAACTCCCACCGTCTGCGGAGAAAGACACGCTGCTTTGACTGCCATGGTTACAAGACCAGATTTTCCACGCGCCGCTCTTTTTTTTCCAAAATCACGATTTTTCACTATTGAGGACAACGGTTGCCGTTGGTTGGCCTTCTTGTAGTTTTAGAACGACAGAACTGTCAGCTGGTTTGTGTAGCATTGTCGATAGCTTCCTAGTGAGACTATGGGCAACAAGAGAAAGGGCAGTCGTCGATACAAGAGCAGAAAGCGAGCTTTCAAAGGAAATCAATTCGCTTGAATATTCAAAAAAAATTCAAATTCCACCGAGTGATTCCGAATCTGAGAGCGATCGCAGTTTACCTGAAGACGTTCCACGACTTCTAGTCGAGACTGTTTCTGATGATGATGGTGGTGATTCGGATGCTAGCTGTGCTGCAGACGGGTTTGATGAGGATGGAGATGATGTGGAGCAGCCTGATGATCATGGCTCACAAAGAAATTGAATAATTCATTTGCCATCATTGCAAGCCGCCTGGTCGCTGATAGCTGTGTGTGCTCAGTATGCAACGTAGGGCTCTTCAGCTCGTGGAGTCAGGCAGATCTGGCCTAGCCACGACTTTGACTTCGTGCTGTGATGACAGTGGAGCCGAGACAACTTCCCAAATGGCAGAGACACCTGTGGGCAAGAAATTCTGTGAGGTCAACAGGAAGAGCGTGCTTGCCATGCGTCGTATTGGACCTTTGGTAGATCGCGGGAAGCCCTGTGCAAGACCAGTGCCATCCTGGACATTCCACCTCCTGTAGCCAACAGTGCTTTTCTCAAACATAGGGATACACTCCATGCAGCAGCAAAGAAAGTAGCCAACCACAGCATGGCCACAGTTGCCGACGCGCTGAGAAGTGGCGAGTCTGAAGGCGAGCCGGTAGACATCGCAGCTACAACAGATGGTACCTGGATGAAGAGGGGATTCAGCTCTCTCTGTGGTGTCCAGACTTCGATTGCCTGGGATGTCCACAAAGTCGTTGATGTTGACTGATGTGCTGATCAACTCCACGCAGAATTATTACGGAATGGCCACACGGGGGAATTCAGGGTCAGTGATAGATATGGCACGGGCGATATGGGCATCATTTTGTCATACCTTTCCCACTGACCAGACGCCCAACCATGACTTTTGTCCTGATGGCCCCACTTCCTGGTGTGGATGGCAGAAGGCCAGGGCTGAGAAGAGATCCTACAGCCACACCAAGAGTCTGTCACCCGCAATCCGTGATGCCGTGAAGCCTATTTATGTACGTCTGGCCGAGACAAGTTTGTTGGAGCGGTGTACACGTGGTGCCACCCAGAACGCCAATGAAGCGATCAACAGCCTCATCTGGCAGATCTGCCCAAAGGAGCTATTCTGCAGCGCCAAGGCGGTGGAAACAGCTGTGCATTTGGCTGTCATCATCTTTAACGATGGATACGAACAACTGGAAGCCGTATTGACCGAAATGGCATGCAGCTCTGGCACCCTCACAAGTAGTGCACTGCAGGGTCTCGACCGCAAGAAGCAGTACCACAAGGCCAGAAAGTCATCCTCAAGCAAGCAAGATGCAAGGAAGAGTCAACGAGCCCAAAAAGATGGGGTTTGGTGATGCAGCTGCTGAGCGAGAGGGTGTAACGTACACCGCGGGTGGATTTTAGCTGGCCCAACATGCATAGTTTTTTAGTGATTTTCGTAGGACATGGTGACAGTATTTCCGGCATAACTTTAGTGCTATTCATGCTAGAATAACAAACCTTATATGTAGTCGCATCTGCTTCAAATTTCCCAGGTGCTGAACCTCTCTTTTCTTGTGTAGAGTGAAGCAGAAAATGCATTTGATGTCTTCAAACATTCTGATCGTTTTCTTACGGCCGGAAACAGAACTTTGGTGTGATTGTAGTCTGCTTCTTTGTTTCCTTCTGTCCTAATTTGGAGGTTCGGCACCTCAACATAACTGCATAGAGTCTGTAAATTGAAAAATATCATTATTCACAACTGTTCTCAGTACTCTCTGCTGAAAATTTATCAAACATCGCAAAATCGCAAATTTCCATTTTTGAATTTGCGTGAAAGATTGGAACGTATTCGCGTATGTGCCTACTAATGCTGTCAATCTCCTCCCTGATGCACATGGGAGCCACCCTGAAAATTTGAACTGAATCCAATGTTCTAGTGCTGAGTTACACCCAGAAATGTCCACGGACTTGTGATTTTGGCCCATTTGGGTGATGTGCCACCTGTGATCTATTCCTCCGCACCAGATGTGTGGCGCACTGCCTTCATTACAATGTCATCATGCAGCTGCAGTCCACATACTGCGGGAAATCAAACCCGACACTTCCCCTCTGTTCTGAAATGAACTTTCGTCCGGAAATGAAGTTCACGCACCTAAAATTTAGAGATCGTGTCGGAACTCTAACGAATCGAGCAAGAACGGATGTGCTAGTACGAGAGATTGTGGGTTAGAGTGCATGAGTACAGGGCGTGATGCAGGCAAGTTGCATAAGAAAGGCAGTGTGTTGTGCACTGCCCCTTTACCACAGTTGCATACTCTTTGTTATACACTCTTGTTTTCGCACTATTGCCTGAACTGTTGCAAAGTTACATCCCCTTCCTTCCTGGAGGCGGAATGTTATGGTCCAGTTAGTATTAGTTTGTACAAAATAGAATGTCTGGGGTATGCGTCCCAGGGCAGAATTCAGATATACTGTATTGGTTTTTTCGGAATGCCCTTGGAATATGCCAGTATGTACAAGTACTAGTGCTCGGCAGCAAGAGCGGAATCACTGCGACTGTGAAAGACTGGAATCATACTAGAATGTACAGCTATGAATGAGCCCATCGCTGCACACAACTTGGAACCACAACTCACCACAGAATGACCTTGCTGCAGACTGATCACCTAGCTGCCGAGAAACACCAAAGTCACCTGGTGGCAGGGTGAGATGAAAACAAGAAGCACACACACACACACACGCACACACACACACACACGCACACACACACACACACACACAGAAGATTCTAAACTGGCCCAAACGCAATAAACAATAGTGGCCAAGAGGTCAGACAAGTAAAACACCTCAGCTTGGGAATACTTCTAAACATATCGTACATGCGTCAGGATATACGTTAGCCAGGGCTTCCATCTCCGAGTTAGATGCATTTATATTCGTAACTTGGTGCACATTCTACTTCAGAACTTTGAAGATACATGTACTACTAGTGTACAATGGAATGGCCTTGTGTAAGAGAAGCTTGGGATAAAATGAGCACAGTGCCGGCACCACAGTGGTGTGCTGTCTGTATATCCCAGCCTCTCCTTTCTCCCTCTGTCCTGCTTCCCGCCAGTCTGTTCCTCTTCTCCTGTCTGTATGCCTCTCTGTCTCTCTCCCCCCCCCCCCCTCTCTCTCTCTCTCTCTCTCTCTCTCTCTCTCTCTCTCTCTCTCTCTCTCTCTCTCTCTCTCTCTCTCTCTCTCTCTCTCTCTCTCTCTCTCTCTCTCTCGCACACACCATTGGACCATTGGACGCCTATCGCCAGAGGCGATGTTAGCAATGCTACAGCAGCAGCCACAGCAGCTTGTGCTGGGATTGCACCATTCAACAGCTTGCAAGGCTGAAGAATTGACCGCCACTATTCAGCCTGGTCTACACCACACAGCTATGAAGTGGCTTTTTCTGGCCAGTGAATCCCTACTTTTTGGTCTTTTCATTTTTTTCTCGCGCACACATACACACACACAAAAACTCAAGACCGCATTCCTCACCAAGCTTAACATTGCCATTCACGTCCAAGAATATATTCTCTGGCTTAATGTCCCTATGCAGCGTGTGCAGGGCGTGGCATGCTTGAACTGCTTCACAGATCTTGTAGAGCATTGCCAGAACAACCTACAACAAGGCACCGACAACACCAACGCATAGATAGCACTAGAGCTAGGTCACGGCAATCCACAGGCATGTGCTTCATACCAGTGCATGCACATTGCACACAACAGAGGTGAACATGAGTCACATGACCCATCAGAAATGAAACGTATGCAATAGCGCAAGGGAACCCAGCAAATCTGAACTCGAGAGGATGAACGAGGACATTTTCGTGTTAGTTCTCTTGCACGCAAAATAAACATTATGGGATACTCCATTGCATGTCAATCAAAGTTTAATTTCTTCTGCTAACTGCTACTGCACAGCACAAGGCAGTGCATGCAGCGTCTTACTGGCTCGGTTAACAGCTTGTTGCGGTGATTGCGTCTGATCCAGTTCTTTAACGTGCCACCCTGGCAGTACTCCATAACTATGTAGTACTCGGTACGCGCCACATCGTGTACGGTTTCGTACAGCGTGACCGTGTGCGCGTTGGACTCGTTCTTTTTCAGCGACTGGACCTGAGCACACAAGTGTAGGGAATGCACACAGGCAGTGTTAGCAACAAAGGCCATGCACGGAAAAGGCAGGAGTGCAGCATGCCTGTACCATCATCCATGCGATAGGTACTAGTACAGAGCATCATTCACTTTGCCCATAATACAGTAGAACACACTTCACACGAACATACCTATGATGAAATGTGTGCGAACACAAAGAAGCACAGTGGTCCAAACATGTGTGATGAGACGACTTGTGCGACACGAGACTTTTTGCATAAGACGAAATAATTTCAAGCCCCGCATGCTACTTCTTTCCCTATTAGACGAAAAATGGGCGGAAGAGAAGACGTCAGAGGAACAGTGAAAGGGAAAGTAAAACAAATTCTTGCACGAGTATGTGAAGATCTTGAAAGCTGTAGGAAAGAAAGATGGTCAGCGTGGTGGAACACTTGATGCAGCAAAGGAGTTGAGATCAGCCGCTCAACTCGTGTGTGTGTGTGTCTGGGGGGATTTAGGGAATTCGGGCTATATTTCATTCCAAGATAAATTTATTGGCGTGGCTTTGGCCGCACCTGCCGCACCGGTTCCGACGCCCCTGTACACTCACACCCTCAAGCTCACTTCTTGTATCAAACACATCCAATGAGCCGTGTAGTCATTGCTGTCTGATAATCCCTTATACATGAAGCCGAGAGCTACAGCTGAACAATTTTTCGATCCTTATTTCTATTTATACATGTTTCAAGTTCTGAACTATTCTTTGTAGGGCGTACCAAGCTCTCTCCCCAGCTGCAACGGCCGACTTCAATGCCAAGCCAAGCAGGCACGTATTTTCTTCGTCACAATGCTAGTACAAGTAAGAATCCTTGCCCTTGTACTTGCATAGGTAAAACTTATTTGTACAGGAAAGTAAAATACAAAAATCAAGTGCCTGCTGTAGCTATATACATGCAGGCATTTTCTTCATACAATGGTCAAAGAACAGAATTCAATAAGAATCATATCGCACTGGGATCGTGCATGTATGTGGGAACACAACTGAACACACCGAGACTCTACACGCATACAATTATTCCCAAGATGTAACTAACGCTTACCTCTTGAGGGACATTTTGGCTTTGCACATTGATCTTCTTAGCACACCAAACAGCGTTGGTGGTACGCTCTCTCACCACGTAGGCGCTGCCAAATGCCCCAGACCCAATTTTCCTAAGAGGTTCATACCTTGCCAGAAACTGCTCTGAAAACTCCAATGAATCTACGAGAGGCTCACCAGGCACTTCGTCCAGAGACGACGTGGATGCACCCATGGGGAAAGTGGGCTAACACCATGTCTCACATTCCAATTATTTCATAAAATCCCTGCCCCTCGTTGGTCTCCTCAAAAGGCTGCTTTGGGACACTCAGCAGAACATTAGCTTTGTAAGCTGTCGAAGGTACTAACAGTTACTGCTACTGAAACACACGAAGGTCGTCCAATGGAAGGTTATGACAAACTGAGGACATGTCGACAGGGAGAAGGTCGTGAAGCATACGCGCAGGCACAACAAAATAATTCATTGCTGTTTTTTTGAAAAATGCAATGAGTCATAAAATTGATCAATGATGCAAGAAATACTATACACGATCCATGGATGGATCGATGTCACGTCAACACACATTTTTTGCCACAGATTTCAAAATGTGTGACAGAAGATAGTTCATCTCAAATTTTCTACAACTAACAGTAATATTAAGTACAAGGTACTTATCCATTCAAAGGCTCTTATCTGTGTCTCGCGGCTGCATGGGATATCTCTATTTTGTCATTGATTTCGACTCAAGCTATCTCGATTTCCTGTATTCGGTAAGTCTCCCTTGTTGTAGGAGGTTGTGTTTGTGTGTATGAAAGAGTAAGAATGGCTACTCTTGATAAACTACTTACTAGTAGTATTGGCTGGCTATTCTGCTCAAAGTTGTAAGTAGCACACAGCAGTACAATGGGTGTATGCTTCAAGTGCAGATGGTCAGTTCTCTCTCTTTTTGTGCAAGGTGCTTTGTTAAAAAAAAGTCATAATGGAGCGGTCAGCATTGTACAGATTTGATACAACTTGTGTGCCAGCACATGTATATGTAGTAGATTATGTACTAGCACATAATTGTGCGCATGGTTTAGTTCTGGCTGCAGTGGTATGCATACAAATACATGTACATGGTGACATCACTGCAACACTACCAAATTGGTAGTGTTGCAGTGATGTCACCATGTCACCATGTAGCGTTTCCATCACTGACAAAATTTAATATTATTAAATTTTGTCAGTGATGGAAACGCTGCAGCACGGTACGCTACCCAGACCATACACCGTTGCCAGTGTGTCCCCTACATGTATAGCACTACACGTAGCCGATCACAACACACAGCTCACAAAGTATACGGTACATGTACCGGTAGTCACATGTAGTCATGTACTAGTACATAGTGATTGGCATACAAGATCAGTACACTGTACACTGTACAGCTAGTGGTTCCGGCTACAGTGGGCGATGCACTGTTACTGTAATCCATGCAATAGAAAACACTATCATGATGCTGGGCGTCTAGACCTGTGGGGCAGTGTACAATTGCTCTGAAGAGATAAGCTTGAACACGACCGATTGTTGGCAAATTTCTGAGACAAGAAATAGAAGGTTATACGAAACACACAATGCATTGTACTTGTTTTCGCCAGTCTGTTATTTTCCTAGCTGTAGTGTTGGATATTCTCTGTGGCTAATGGTAGTAATAGGGACTGGTAATACTTCCTGGACATAAGTTAGTAGGTAGCTACTGCGGGAGAAAATCAATGCATCTGAACGGGAATCGGTAACTAGACTACTTTTAGAATTGGAATCAGCGGTTATACGTGTGATATCGGGTTACAGGGATCGTGGTTCGATAAAAGAAAGAAAGAAAGGTGTACGTCAAGTTCTTTGGGTGCACGTTTTGGTTAGAGTTAAGGCAACGTACTGTAGACTTTTTCAAGCAGTGTTCTGTCAGATTCAAGACGGTGATGTAACGTTGTAGATGAACCGGTACTAGTACTAGTAGCTACTGTACATGCAGACCAGGTGCACTGCACCAGACAGTGCATGGGTTGCCAGTATGACGACGTGGAAGTGAAGGCTGAAAACTCCTCGATGGTGCGCATTGCAACACGCAATTGCACGCAGACTGGCTGTCCAGGACAAGTGCAAATGCGTAACGCAACCGTTGTCCTGGGCGTGCAGCACGCACATGTACAATGCGTATCGCAACCGTTGTCCTGGGCGTGCAGCACGCACCTGTACATGTACTGGGTGTTCTAGGCATGTGTGGGCAGCGGGCTTAGGCTCCAGTCGCCCACCAGCCACATAATTATATCATGCCTGTTGTGGTGGCTACTGGCGCTGTAGTTTCATGTGATGTCCTTCCACTGTCAACTGCGCGCCAACGTAGGATGGCATTGATATTGACGGCTGAAGCAATCACAAACGACACAAAAGATTGCATGCAATATACAATGTACATGTATGCACTTGGTAAGCTGAAAGATTTTTTTATAAAAGCAAACCGAAAGTTCTTCATCCCTGTACTTACTTATGGAGCGGAATTCTCAGGCATCACTTACAAAGTGCGCACTGCAGGTGCTTTTGGGGACTGGGGACAAGTGTGCATTGCAGAATGGGTCCCGCGAAAACAGCAAATTCTTGTTCATTCACAGCAACCGTATTTCAAAGATATCTAGTTAGCTACTTACCCGCCGGAAAGCCAGCTCAAAGTCACCCGTGTCCGCTTTCTTGTTCCATCTGCGATCCAGCACCACTGCAACGGGAACAAGTGGAGACACAGACAGTGTTTCCTCAGTACATGCATACAGTGCTGTGTACTGTAAACAATGGGAGACCTCAGTACACGCATACAGTGCTGTGTACTGTAAACAATGGGAGACCCAGTCAACACTAGGAGTTCAACAATATAGACTACACTTCAACGGGCAGGTGTACGTATGTGACTCCTGTCTCAAAGCTCCTATCTTTATGAGCGGGGTACCGGGTGTGCGGTGGTGGTACGATTGCCTCTAGATAGATTGATTGATTTTGGGAGAGTAGTTTGTTCCTTACGCGTGTCCCATACCTGCGTGCAGTAGAACAGGTTGACATGATGTGACATACAGGTACATGTGTGCTGTTGTTACCTTTCATTGTGTCCTCCACGACTGCAGCACATAGCTTGCCGGTGACGTGTGTAGTGGCTGATAGTGCCGGACTGCAGTTGATCTCAATCTGGGCAGCCAAAGACAGAACGGAGCAGAACGGAGCACTTCTACTGTGTGTGTCTATGCGTGTGGACTATACACGTGCATAGCGTGGCCAGTGCTGCCAACTCGGTACATGTAAGTACCACTATTGTACACTGCACTGTACTCCTGAGTCCTGACTGTGAACAGTAATATAGTATAGCTGTGTTAGTAGGAGATGTGCTGCACACTGCTGGAGTAGTGGAGAGTGATAGCAATTACAGTATGCAAAACTCCTGGCTACTATCATCAAGTATCATGATATTGGCCATACTGAGCTGTTTTATAGACTTTTTGCAAACATCACCGTAGTCTTTGTATGGATTGGCAAAGCCGTGCTTCCGGTGTCGTTCCATGCAAGCAGCTCTAATTAATACTGTAGCGATGTACGGTAATCACGTAACCTAACGGTATACCCTGGTCTGCGATCCCTAGTTGGATCACTTGGTGACTGCAGCGCACGGTACGAAAAAACTCTGTACCCGAGACCTATTCCACGGTTCATCGGCCAGTACTGTAGCTGTGGCTGGGGTAGCTAGTGCAATGCAGAGTATGTTCAGTACTGTAGCTGTGGCTGGGGTAGCTAGTGCAATGCAGAGTATGTTCGGAGGTAATGTTTTGCCAGAAAAAGTGGATGTGTTGGGTCCTGCACCAGTGTGTACATTTCATAGTGTTAATCTGGCTAGTGTCATCCTGATTAACATCGCCATCCACGCCCCATCGGTGCACAACCCTGTGGAGTACAGGTGTACTGTACTGGCTGTAGGATAGAATGGCTGGGTGGTCTTGTTTGCATGATCGTTGTCACATCTACAGTAGACTACTGATGCATCCTGTACTGTGGACTTTCACATCATGCCATGACAGACTACTCATACATCAGGTACTGTGGACTTTCACATCATGTACTGTAGTAGACTTTCAGATTAGAGAGGACTGAAGCACATGCTCTCCACCTACTACCAGCCTGAGCATCATAGGAAACATCCACACCAACAAACACACACACGGACACACACAAGCAATAGACTTACCAGCCATGGGCGATAGTCTTCAGTTAGCATGAAGTCGGCACCGAACAGTTCAAAGGAATGCTGTGCATTTTGCAAAGAGAGAGAGAGAGAGAGAGAGAGAGAGAGAGAGAGAGAGAGAGAGAGAGAGAGAGAGAGAGAGAGAGAGAGAGAGAGAGAGAGAGAGAGAGAGAGAGAAAACAGCAGCGTGTTTTGTAGTGTGGTACGTGTAGACATGTCTGTAGCATCAAGCTTATTCGTGATGGTTAGGTGTGGAAGGAAGTCCCCTGGGTTCAGCAGCAAACAAGATAGGCCAGCACCCAGTGAAGTAGCCTGGCAACCTGTGATAATGTAGTGAGCACGGGAGTTTGGTGGGACTCACCTTCCTGCACTCGACAATGTCCTGCATGGAGAGAAGCGTGCCGATGATTGCATCTTTCATGCCTGTGTAGATTGAGTCCCACTTGTCGCCCTGGCTATTCTCACTAGAAATATGAAACACAGGCAACCAGCAGAGAAAGCAAATATTCACTGTCACGTCTGCCATACTGTTCCACATCGTACAGCGAGGAAAGAAAACTCCTCAGCTGGCCAGAATGTATTCAGAATGTGCACTATGCGCCAAGTGTAAGCGGACTGGCTACGCCCCACAGCCGATTCCTTATCACGTGAGTATTGTTTGTAGGCGGCTGGGCACGATGTTCGTAATGTTTCGTCGACTGTATGCATACACTTTGCAGTAGCTGCACGCCACTTCCAAGCATCCATGTGTGGCGATGCTGCAGTGCTGTAACTTGTAAATGCTAAAGGCTCACTTCTACCTACACTGCTGCCAGGATAGTCAAAACTTCACCCCTTCCTGTGTTTGTTTGTAGGAGGTATTCCTGGTACTGCTCTATTGGATGTGAGTGCAACAGTGGATATATTCATCCGAAACCTCTAATATGCGCAAGAGTCTGAACTACCTCTGGAGTGCCAGTCTCCTTTACCACCAGACTAGCCCGACGCTGTCCACGATTCTCCAGCAGCAGCTGCAGAGCCTGACCGACATCGACGGAGGCATAGCCACCATCTTGCCAAACAAGATCAAGCGCCACCTGTGCGCCCACTGCTCGTCCCTGCTGGTTGGTGACACAACACGCACGCGGCTGGTCGGCTGCAGGCGCCAGCGAAAGCTGCAGCATAAGCTCAGAAAGCGGCGAAGAGACCTCAGCAGCAGCACTAGCAATAGCACTAGTAGCAGTACTAGCAGCAGCCCTGGTGGCGGGTCATCTACAGTTCCGGACAACACGGCAGCGAGCAGTAGTTTACCCTCACGTCCTGCACTTGTATCGCGACGACAGGTATCTAACCACCGCTCTGCCACGTACACTACCACTCGCTGCAGTACGTGTCACCACAGAACACAGCATGTCTCCGTTCCCCAGCGCACCAGGCGGAAACCTGGCGAACAGCACGCGGCCGCATCGCAATCAGCAAGCCAGTCAGTGACTCCAAGCAGCACAGCAACAACCAGTGCCACACACCCCAATCCTGGACTTGCTCAAGCAACGCCTACTCAAGCCAGCCATCAAAAAGCACCCGTCCTCACAACACACAGCCATGCCACTCACAAGCACACGCCTACCGTTACAGCGCAATCTACTCCCGGTTCGCAGCAAGAGGACGAGGCGAGCAAGAGCAAGAAAGCGCAGAAGAGAGCACGCCAGAATGCACGCAAAGCTGGTCTTAGGGGTCAACTAGCAATGCTGGAAGCAGCTGCAAAGCAAAGTGGGAAGCCTGATACACCCAGTGGCGGCTCTCTTCAAGACTTTCTCACGTCGCTTTAGGCAAATGCTCCATCTAGGGACTTGGGTATTATAGGAAACTGAAGCACCTCAAAGCCGAACTTAGTACAGATATTCAATGTGGTAATGGGTTTAGAAGTACATACCGGTATAGATACTTCACATCATACTCCAGGCAAAACAATTGCTACTAGAAATGAAACATCTTTTTCTGTGGTTTAAATTCATGATCTCCATCAACCACCCACATATTTCCTCACGCTGCATGTATTCTCCACTAACAGCCTGTTTTAATAGTTACCTTCGCTATACATATACTCCTTTCGACCACCATGGAAACTCATGAAATTCACGTGATGTACTTCTCAGAGCTCGCTTTGTCACCCTACGTGCTGTACCCGGTTTTTTATTCTGCTTGAGGCAGCTTTATTATGATCTTGCATGCTGCGTTGCTGGCAACGTCTAGTCACTCTAGTGTGTCACAACCACAATACATGTATTCCTATTGGTGACTTACGTCAGGTATTGCTTGAACTGGTCGCTGGACCACATGTTGTCATCAGGCAGGTCAGGTGATCGCTTGTTGTCTACCTGTAGGTGCCGCTGGATCGCGTTGTTAGCGAGGTGTACACCACTGCAAGCGTGCACGAACACAGAGAAGCACAGCATGCGTGCGACGGGGGGGACACACGCTCTACTATCATGCTACTAGTGGCGTAGTGTACATGTAGTGTAAACCGGGGAGTAGTACTCCCTCAGTCCCCGGTTACTACTCCCTCAGTCCCCGGTTACTACTCCCTCAGTCCCCGGTTACTACTCCCTCAGTCCCCGGTTACTACTCCCTCAGTCCCCGGTTACTACTCCCTCAGTCCCCGGTTACTACTCCCTCAGTCCCCGGTTACTACTCCCTCAGTCCCCGGTTACTACTCCCTCAGTCCCCGGTTACTACTCCCTCAGTCCCCGGTTACTACTCCCTCAGTCCCCGGTTACTACTCCCTCAGTCCCCGGTTACTACTCCCTCAGTCCCCGGTTACTACTCCCTCAGTCCCCGGTTACTACTCCCTCAGTCCCCGGTTACTACTCCCTCAGTCCCCGGTTTACACTACATGTACACTAGTAACACTACGCCCCCTCCCCTTGTCATCTCTCCTAATACCCCTTTCCTGTCCCTGTGGGAAAAAATCAGAATTCTGCGCAAGAAATCATGGAGGGAAGTAGGCAAAATGTGGACTAGAATGTCCGGATAATCAGAAGTTTTTTTCCTGGCATTTCGAGGTTCGAATTATCAGGATTCCGCCTGCATAGGAAATTTGCGGAAACTGCATAGTCCGCAGGCCAAAGCGGAAAAAAATGCTCCAAAAAAAATTTCGTTCCCGCTGATGGGGTACCAAGGTTTGTTGACTCTACGTGATAGAGTGTTCCTTTACGAGCACAATGATGTAGGTTTGGTGTCAGGGGACTTGTCCTTTCGCGTGGAATTGAGGGGGTTCGACAGCTGTCAAATATGCACAGCTGTCGTGTATGGGGATTCTGAGCATGCACGGAAACTGCTCAAAACGGATCAAGTGATGCTCGCCACGCAGAATTTGGAAATTTTGAACTGAGTGATCAGGTGACGGCGAACACATTGTCAAATTTCTTATTGCACGTACAGCCATTTCCTGTTCTTCCTTTCCTTATGTCAAGCAATGATTGCGCGTTGTGTTAGGCCTTTGTCGTCCAGCTCATGGCGTCCTCGCCTGCTTCTTCAGAGTCCCTAAACAAGCGCAGTACTCGCCAGTCCGTTGAAGTTCCTCGTATCGAGCCAGGAAGGAAGAATTGCATATTTTGTGGATCCATCCAGAAAAGAATACCAGGTACCAACAAAAAGCAGAGTACTTCGCAGATTTTGACACTCGAAGCTGAGGAAAGGCTGAGAAAAGCTGCTGCCATACGGAAGGACGAGGGCATTTCGATTGCCATTTCAGCAGTCAGTAGCCTCATTGCAAGAGAGGCATACTATCACAAACAGTGTTACAACGATTTTACAAGAGAGTCATCCCTTGCACGAATCCGTGACAGCACACCAGCTACATCGACCCCAGCTACATCGACCCTAGTCACTAGCTCGTCTGCAGGTAGCGCTGAGCATGACCTGTCAACACCAAGACAAGAGGGAAACATCGAAGACTTTTACCACCTAGTACACCAGTTGCTGTTTGTGGAACGCACTGCTGTTAGCATTTCACGTCTTACGGCAGACTACAACGCGACAGTACATGGAACTGCTAGGAATGACAGAACCAAAGCTGCTATCACAGAACGGTTTGGTGAATCTGTCACTTTTGTGCGCCGTCCGTCCCGGAACACGGCTGAGCTAGTTTTCGCTAATGCCCATGCCAGTGAGATAATAGCCAGTTTGTATGCCGAGGTGGAAGAGGCGAGGGATTCGGATGGGGTTGATGATGATATTTGGGTGGAGGAGGACAATGCAGCTAACACTTCAGGAGGTGAAGGTGTTGTAGCACAAGATCGCCTGCGTATTGTATATCACGCCGCACGTCTTTTGCGGACTGCGTGCCAGGAGACAAAGGCCCAAGAGTCAAGCGGGGAAATCCCAACAGTTGCTGAAGCAAACGCATGCTTACCCAGCCTACTCCACAACTTTCTGGCTTGGGTAGTGACTGACCAGCATCATGATGACATCGGTCAGGACAAAGTTGATTTGGATGAGCAGCTGCAACGTCACGTCTCCTCCATTGGCCAGGATTTGCTGTATATTACATCAGGACTGCCGTGCCCCAAACATGTTGTTCTGGGACTGACCCTACATCACCTCTACCGGAGCGAGAAGCTGCTGAAAATGCTTAACCGGTTTGGGCACACCATTGCCTACTCCCAGGTTTTGGAAAGGGAGACTGCTATGGCAGAGCGGCGAGTGCGAGACGGGCACATAGTGGATGCGTTACCGGGTGGCATTGACCCCCACCGGCCATTCTACCATGTAGCAGATAATAACGACTTAAACGAGGAGACTCTGGACGGGAAAGGGACCACACACTGCACCAACACCGTTGTTGTCCAGCCCCGTGCTTCATCTGTAAGCCGCCCTGACAGTGATGTTTCTCCTGCTGAGCCAGCACGAAAACGCAAGCGTACGCTGGCCCTCGAACCTGAGGTTCTTCCCGAATTAGTGTGCCCGACAAAAGTCAACCCAGAGCGCCGTGAGGCAGTTGACGTGGAGACGCTGGACACCTCACTGCCTCACTGTTCTGACGCGGTGGCCATGGATGACTTCATCTGGCAGCTTGCACGGGCTTCAAAGGACGGTGACATCGGCAACGTCATTTTGTCCCGCACTGATCAAGACCAGACAGTTCCAGCGTGGTCGGCATTTAATGCCCTGCTTCAACGTCAATGCATCCCACCACGGTCTGCCATAGGTTACTGCCCTGTGGTCAACTCGTCACCAACTGACATGTCAACAGTCTACGCCATCCTCAGAAAGTGCCTTGGTCGATGTGCCAATGCTGGCCTCCCATTTAGCATCATTGTAGTGGACCAAGCCATTTACGCAAAGGCATTGGACATTATTAACCACCGGCCTGACGAGTTCTCACCCGTGGTGCTGAGATTGGGAGCGTTTCACGCAGCCTGCACGTTCCTCGCCATCATCGGGAAGCGTTTCCGTGATGCAGGTCTCCTTGATCTGTTCGTTGAGTCCGGGATAGCTGGACCATCTTCTGCCTCGTCTGCGTTAGACGGGACTCAATACAACCGAGCTGTGCGTTTGCACAAGGTTGTTGCAGAGGCTTTGCATCGGATGCGGTGGCAGCAGTTCGTGCAAGATGCGGATCCCACGATCATCAACCTAGCAGCCATCCGATCTTCACTAACGTCTTCATTCAAGGAGCTACAGTCTTGTGTCACCGATGACAACTCGGCGTGCATCACGGCATCACCGGAGGCTGTGGAGTTGCACAAGCAGTATACGGAGTACTGCCGGAAGCGGGCCGCTTCATCAGAAATGTTCAACTTCTGGTCTTCCTACATTGCCATGGTGAGCCTTCTGCTCCGGTTCTTGCGTGCAAGTCGAATGGCAGATTGGAAGCTCCATCTGCAGTGCGTTTTGAAAATGCTCCCTTGGTGCTTTGCGTACGACAGGCAAAACTATGCCCGCTACATGTCCTATTATTGGCTGCAAATGACCCAGTTGCCAACAACACATCCCGAAGCGGATCGGTTCCTGCAAGAAGGAGGTTTCTCCGTCCAGCGCTCCGACAACCCATTTGCTCAGGTCCCATCTGACCAGGCCATTGAACAGTCGATAAACCGGGCCACAAAGACCGTGGGAGGCATTATTGGGTTCAGCCGCCATCCAGCAACCGTGCAGAGATGGGTGTTGACTGCACATGACCGAGCCGCTGTGGCAGATGTCTGTTCGGAGCACTGTGGTATGGACAGTGGTACCGAGGAGCGAGATACCCTGCACAAAGAGTGCCAGACGGGAAGAATGGCTCGTGATGAAAACGATGTCGTGAGTGTGGTCGAGACTGTCAGCAAGTTTCTCAACCCATTCGCATCTGACGGCGAGGAACCGCTGCCTTTGACACAGTTCGCATCTGGCATTGAGGCACCCCATGATGTAGCCCAGGATCTGCTCCATGCCGAATCTCGTGGACACAAGGCCTTCACGGCTTTTCTTAGCGACAGACTGTTGTCTGGAGCATCCGAGAAACAATTCCACGATCCACTGAAGAAGCTGCAGCTGAAGACCTTCACTCTGAAGAAGCAGAAGAAGAAGACTCCTGGAAGTGGTCAAGCCGAAATTCTCCGGAGTGATCGGTCAACATTCTCCAGGATTGCCCTGATTGCTCAGACCAGGCAGATGGATATGCGTCATGTCCTGTCATACCCACTTGGCCCCCTGCCCTGGGCTTTAGCAACAACGTCAGGATCTCTGGTGAAGACCAGCAAGTCTGCCCTGCTGCCGTTGCTCACGGACAAGGCGATTGTCGACGACAGTACACACCCACCTGATGGTGCACTAATAGTCGACGCCATGGCACTGTTGAGGTCAATGAAGACTTCCAGCTTGCCATCCACGTTTGCCGAATATGCTGAGTGCATCCTAGATCGCCTGTGTAAGTTCTTTGCACGGTATGCTCGAGTGGATTTTGTTGTTGATACGTACCGGGATATGTCGATCAAGAATCTGGAACGTTCATCACGGGCCGCTAGTGGGACTCTACGGCAGCATATCACTGGCGCTGATCAACGGCTTCCCAGGCAGTTTGCCAAGTTCCTGGCAGTGGGTGACAACAAAGAGGAATTGATTGCATTCCTCGCCGTACAGTGGCAGCGTCCTGCCATGGTTGAGAAGGTGCCTGAGCAGAGGGAACTTGTCGTTACCAGCGGTAGCTCTTGTGTGATGATCAAACGTCAGGCAGGTGCTACAAGTGTCGTCCCTGTACCTGACTTGGAGTGCAGCCACGAGGAAGCGGATACCCGTCTCTTGTTGCATGCATCTCATGCTGGATCCGCAGGCTATCCCACCGTCACGGTCAAGTCCCCGGACACTGATGTAGCAGTTCTGGCTGCCTTCGCCCGCCATTGCATCTCTGGAAGATTGTACTTCCTCACTGGGACTGGGAACAAGGTTCGATGCATCGACATGGCAACTGTCAGCGACGAGCTTGGCCCAGAACTCTGCCAAGCACTGCCAGGCTTCCACGCCTTTACTGGGTGTGATAGCACAAGTGCTTTTGCATACCGCGGGAAGAAGGCTGCATTGAAGATTCTGCAAAGCACCGGTCCTGTTGGGTCTACATCTCGGCAAGCATTCACCTCCCTGGGGAAAGGCTTCGAACCACTGACAGCTGATGTGCTCATCAACCTTGAGACATTTGTGTGCTCCTATTACAAAGTCTCGGGTTGTAGCAGCGTCAACGATGCAAGGTATGAGCTGTTCTGCACAAAGACCTTGCAGTCAAACCAGCTTCCACCATGCAAAGATGCCTTCCTGAAGCATGCCGCGAGAGCTAACTACCAAGCTGCCATTTGGCGCCAGTGCATTGTGGCCCAGCCTGCGATACCAGCACCACAAGATAATGGCCAAGGTGAGTGAGCTGACTGTAGCATATAATGCAGTTGTAGAGGAGGACTGCAGTATGAAAATGATGGATATTCTCTGGACAAGACATGTTCGTTGATGTTGCTACTTATACAATAGAGTGAATCAGCTGTGTTATCAACACAATCATGCATGAAGTAATTGACTGTTGTAGTGTAAGAAGCTTTTCTGATATATGGAGTAAATAATTTGCATTCCTCCATCTGTTTGTTCTCCCCATTACAGGTTGGTGTCTTGACCAGAACGGTGATCTAGCTGTGGACTGGCTTAGTATACCACCCGCTCCCCACTCTGTCCTCGAGTTTCTCAGCTGTGGCTGTAAGACTGGCTGTGGAGGAGGCAATTGCTCCTGCAGGCGTCACATGCTCGTGTGTACAGATGCTTGTAGCTGTCACCATCATGCTTCAGTTCCATGCAAGAACTGCCCGGTGGAATCTGCTCCTGGACATGACGAAGTACAGGCCATCGATGAGGGAGATCTTCCGTCTGACACTGAGCAGCAGTGAGTCACCCATTTATGGACACACGGATAATGCACTTTCGTTTTATGTTACATGTAACTGTTCAACTCTAAACATTGGGTATACAGAACTGTGTTCACGTTGTGACATGCTTCCCTATTCTGATTCATGGGTGACTACAATGTAAGGTCGTACTGTGAGTCAGTGAGTTCTATGCTTCTATGGTCTGTCAATGCAGGTAATTGCATGAATGGCAAGTACGGATCACGTCGGTTTACCCAGTATGTGCTCAAAACTAGTGGACCGATGCGGTTAAAAGTCAGGCACCTCTACTTGTTGCATACACGTGTATGTGCTGAGTGTTTTTGCTGGCTTCTGAAACAACGTAGTGTATAGTGTATAGTGTATAACAATGTAGTATGAGTATGTGGTTGGTAATAATGCAAAGCCAACATCTTTGTTACGTCAGATTTATGTGCATCTCTCGGCGTCCATATTTTGTTGGCCGCTTAGCAGAATCTACTGTGCATAGCAGCATATACTGTGCATGTTCAGTTCCCTGCTCAAGTCCATTACTGAGTTGGCAGCGATTGCCGGATAGCCCTCCCACATTGTACATTGTCCAATGCCCATGTGATGGCATACTCTTCTTTTTGTCTTTTTTATATTTTCTACGCCTTCATTTTGATTTGATAACAGCCGAAGTTTGTTTCAGATGATGGCCCAGTCACATGGAGAAGCTCACCTACATGTGTATTTCATGTACATTATAATACTTGTGATGTTCTTTGCTTCTGATGTACATCCGATCCCCAATGTGATTTGACTACAGCTCATTACGAAAGACGATCCATGTATTGGACATAATCTTATCAGTGATTGTAATGCTATTGTATACCAAAGGGCATTCTGATTTGTATTGTGAAACAAGGCCCACCAAGTGATAAAGACTGTAAAATGTCCAGGTATATCACGAGGGGAGAGCCTCCCCTTCCACCCCATTCTGCATCCCTAATCGAGGGGCTGAGCACCCCCCTTCTACCCAACTACTGTACTTACAGTGCAATGGTATTGACCTTTTGTATGCACACAATTGTCGTACTGCGGGCGACCCGGCAGCATGGGTTCTAGTTGCACGATTATCATCAAACCTTGGATACCGGTGGTTCTTGGTCTTTCTTTGGCAATGCAAAAAACTGGAACTGCTTACAGCATAGGAAAGGTGGTAAAATTTGAATTTCGACTTCCGTTACCATGGCAACATCAAAATAATAGTATTCCTTTGATTTGGTCAACTTAGGACAAGAATCCCGGGACAAGAGATACATGATAAGAAAGCCCTAGCACCACTCTATCATTTCGTATAGTCAAACCTTGGTACCCTTCTGCTCGGAGCGAAAAGTACGAATTTTGCACCCTGGCCTGCGGACTAGCAGTATCAATATTCAGTCCAGGGGACCAAAGACAGTTCACGGGTGTGCAGTCCGTCAAGCACAAAAGGGAATGCTAATCTACAGTAAGATCGGGCGCCGAAGAACGCAGGGGCTCGAGCGCAGCCTAGGAAAGTTCTTAAATTTTTGATTCTAGCCAGACCGTTCTTATTCACACGCGCGCGGCGAGTCGAGTGACATCATGACGTTTGTCATGTACATGTACGTGTACATGTACATGTACATGTACATGTAGTGCAATGACTGTACATGTAGCAGTTACTGTTTACACGTGTACATGACATGTACTCACCTCCCGTACATGTACAATGTAGATCTACGTGTAAATTTTTAAAAGTGTTCTTAAATCTGATAATTCTAGCCTGGACTGTTCTTAAATTTTGCCGGTTTTCCAGCCTGGGTGTTCTTCGGCGAGGTGTTCTTCGGCGCCCGATCTTACTGTAGTGTGAGAAGAAGAAAGAAAAATAAAATAATGATGTCCAACAAAAGCGCTACAATACAAAATTAAGAAAGGGGGACATCAAATTCAATCACACAGCGAAGTGCAGCTTGCTAAGATATGGCTCGCCGTTTATCCGACAGTACTACATGAGAGTGGTGTAAATGCGTGTACAATGTACTGCAGCTTGCCAGGACACTGCCAGTAAGCAACGTTCTTATCAGTACATGTCATGGCTACACAGCAGTGAAGTAGATACTTACGCGGATAAGTCGAGCAAGGTGAACTGCTGGCCACAGAAGCGCAGATAGCTGGACTGTGGAAACAGATAGGAGAGGGTAGGGAGTGCGGCGTCACATGATTCAGTGATAGTATAGCACACTGCTGTGCTTGCGGTGGCCGGCAGATACAACAGAAGGTCCTCTTTCATGCACCGTGGTGGAGCCTGCTTTGGTCACAGAATGAAATACAGAGCTTTGTTTCCTCTGAATAAGACTTCTACAGTACTATACTTCTAGTACAGTATCCAGTTAAGTGGTTGCTCAACTCAGGTACTGGTATGTTCCTGGGTGTACATCAAAGTACATTGGTTCCTGCACTCACTATACGTAAAATTCACTGCACAAGTCCCAGACAACAACTGTTTTATTAGGAAGAAAGCATAACATGAAAGTAAGGCGGGTACGGTTGAATAGAGTATGATTGTGTTTCATGCACAGACAGCAGTCAGACAAGTGTGCTTAGAGATCAATGGGATCGCGACAGTGCATCGATCGCCATAGATTGGCAAACCACACAAATACTGACCTTGTAGAACCAGAGTGTGAGTGGGTTCCAGTCAGTCACCAGGAACCACTGGCGAATGTCAAACTTGGTGCCGTGGATGAGCATTGGACGTTCTGCAGCGCAACACGATCATGAATACAACATGCCCAGTCATGTTCAGTTGCGAACTCATGCAGCCATGGATGCAAAAAGCCAGACTGGCGCACCCGAGCTGTGTGATTTGTAGATGTGTACGGTAAAGCACCATGATACCACCCTACCACATGGACCCAGTCGTGGTCATATTTTGAATGTGCATGGAGCGGATGAGCGAGTCTGGCAACATGTACACCGTGCACACACTGCACATTATCTACTAAGTCCATGCTCACTTCACCTTTTACTTGAGGCTTTTAGCATCAGCATCGGCATCAGCAAGCTCCACACAGAAACAGTGGGCTGCTGTGGAGCCATGTGCGACCCCCACCGCACTCGGGTTCTTGCACTGTATGACCTTAGTTGCAATCAGCTACTCTGCACATGTACACGTACCGGTATATGATTTTACTTTCTCTCGCTGAAGAACAGGGAACCATAATACGTCTACAGTAGCATATCCTGTGAACCGAGGTGGAGCATTCACGACATTGCCTCAGCCACTGCATGCACAACAAAAGGACACCGACGCTCACCGATGTATTTCTGCACGACCCATTTGCTCTCCTTCATGATGGTGTTGCTGTTGACCAGTGAGAGGATCTTGTCCAGACGGTCCATGCACACGATACCTGCACAATGAGACAGAGAGACAGAGAAACAGAGAGAACAGGAAACAGGATATTGTCAACACTGGCGATGCATGATCAAGAAAGAGAACATGCAACCGTAACAAAAAAACGACAAGGCACACGTCTAGTTTGTTGCAACTCTGAGTTTCATGCTATGCAATCATCAGGCAATAGTTAAAAATGTTTGAGTGTGTGTAGGACATCTCTTTCTCAGTTCACATTTCCGAACAAGTAGACAACATATATCTCACCTCTGCCACGCGACTGTGCCCCAGGCTTTACAATCCAGATGTTCCTTATCCCGTCCGAATGGAGTTGTGGTAAGATCTCCTTCATCTGTGTGTGCAAAACAACGACATCACAATGTCACTAATTGGTCCGGCATCATGCATCATGTATTGTGTATGATTGTACTGAATGCACACTGGCTCTTTGCAATCCATCTTATCAGATTGCCAGCATGCTAATCCATGCCCAGCTTTACTGACAATACTAAAATAATCCACCACAGTCTTGCAATGCAGCATGCAGTTGCTCGCTTTGACTAGCTTCTGATCCAGGCTGGCCCGGTACCAGTGCATGATAGATGCTACACACAAACCAATGTGATGTGCCCCACACTAGCACTAGATATCCACACACTAGCACTAGATATCCACACACTAGCACTAGATATCCACACACTAGCACTAAATATCCACACACTAGCACTAGATATCCACACACTAGCACTAGATATCCACACACTAGCACTAGATATCCACACACTAGCACTAGATATCCACACACTAGCACTAGATATCCACACACTAGCACTAGATATCCACACACTAGCACTAGATATCCACACACTAGCACTAGATATCCACACACTAGCACTAGATATCCACACACTAGCACTAGATATCCACACACTAGCACTAGATATCCACACATCCACATACATGTACCCAGAAGTCACACACGTTCAAGCTGCCTGCCAGTTACGTGTACAGTTTACCTGGTCCAGGGCTTGTGTTGCCCGCTGCTCCAACTCCACAGACACGTCCTCCAGCAGGGCATTGTAGCTAGATAGGATTTGGCAGAGCGCAAACACACCATGCACACCACAAAGACAATACCACCACCACCACCACGCAACAACAGGTCTGTGTCACATTGGTCCCCATGTGCTTGGTGTGAGAATTTGGAATTATCTTGGCTAAAGGATCCCTGCTTACGCACCTGTGGAGGCTTTTGCCTTTGGAACTGAAATGCATTTACCTCCAGCATGCAAACACCGAACACTAGGCTGCTTCACCAGTTTGTCTCTACTACATGTGGCAACACCTGCAAAGCTTCCACAGTGATCTGTGGAAGGAAGCTGAAGCTGCTACGACACTGCTGCATGTACTGCTGCCACCCCTGCTGGGTGCATCTGCTCCTGTTTTTCGGCTTCCATGCACACTCTGATCACCTCCACCTAACCTGCTGCTAAAGTACAGCACTGCTCAATGAAATCCAGTCATGTCATTCAAGTACGCGCCGGGCGTTCTGCAGCCATAGGCCTGCGAACACTGGACTGTGCTAGGTGCAAACTGAGTGACACGACTGGATTTCATTGAGCAGGATTGTACATGGCCTGTGATTGTACCGCGGTTCGGAAATACATATACTATGATGTAGAATCAAAAAGAAGCCAGTCATGACCATCGGTCAGTACAGCAGTGTCGGTGGGTACCACTGCCAGGTACTTACTGACATATGAGATAGAATTGTCCGATGACATAGTCCCACTCAGCATCGGACAGTTTATTATCCTGCAGCAAGCACACATGGAAACAAAAGTTTGTAAACAAAACAATGCATGCCCATTAGTCGCATACCCTCAGCTACACAATGCCATTCTCTTTAGTGGATTGTTAGGTTTCGGATGAGTTATCAGGAACAACACAGCAGTGGTTTCCGCTCACCTTTTCTTCATCAATGTCATCATGTTCTTGCTGGCAGAGGAACAGCTCACAAGCCTCCACGGCAAGCCGGACAGCCCTCTCCTCGGCACGGGGCCGCCCATCGGAGTCCAGGTCAGCACGGAGAACGCTAGTGGAGGACGCGGTGGTGTGAAGGCCAGTGTCACTGTTACTGCTGTCCAGTTTACTTGCACACTTGCGTGGAACATTGGGTGAGGAGTCAGGACTGGAATTGCTTGATGAGCTGGTATCGGCACCGTCAGCAGCAGCAGCATCACTGGCACTAGGGCTAACACCGGCATTGCAGGACTCGTTACTCACTCGTTTCTTGCGTCGGCCGGCGCGCCTCTCCTGCTGGCGTCTCTTAGCAAAGCTGGTGCTGGCCCAGGTCTGGTCGGCAGCATTGCGACCGCTGCAGAACGACTTCAGGATGGACGCGGCAGCTGTCAGTCGATAGTTATCTGCAAGGATACAGCGACAGCTAGTGGTTAATGACCATCGAAATTACGCTGGGGAAAAGAGCATGAAACTATTACAGCAGTGTTTCACTACCTTACAAGACATTTGGGTTACATCACGGGTTACATCATTGGTTCCAGACTTACAGCATGGGTTACATCATTGGTTACATCATGGGGTCACACAAAGGCTGCACATCAGTACGGAATGAAGCTATTTATTTAGTTCTTGGCAAGCCACTGCGCAAGTCATACCCCAGTTATCTGACTCAGACACGGGTCGGAACGTACTTGAACAACAAACTCTAGCCAACAAAATGCTAGCCTTGCTGCAGCGCACTCATGCTCCTTACCTACAAACTCGTCGCGGTCGTCCTTGGAGCTGAGAACGTAGCACCGTGGGAAGAACTCATCGGAATTCTGCTGACAAGACCAGCTCAGCTGCCGGAGATTCTTACAAATACCAACCTGGTGTGTATCGGAACAGTCACAAGCAAGTCCAAAGGTTTGACACATACATACATGTATACGATCCATTTTCAAATAATGAAACGAATGGAATATTTTTTGGGATTAGAATTACAATAACGTTAGAACCTGGGTATCCTTTTGCTGCCTAGGGAGGCCATCACATTAAGAAATTGCAGCGCAATACCCGTTATTTTGCTCCTGTGTACTTTGATGCATGCTGAATAAGTGTGCATTCCAGTCTGTAACTGCCGCTCGATCAATTCAACAGGCACACTCGCACTGTCACTTACCTTGGTGGTGAAAGCATGTCCTTCACGGAAATGATTGATATACTGGTCCTGCATTTAGGATCAAAGGTGGAGAGGCAAGAAAAAACACAGCAGTTGGCATGCAGAATGGCAGAGCATGAATTGCCACGGGCCTGTGCCACACCTTGGGTATTTCAGAATGTTCAATGGTGATATGCTCCCCCCCCCCCCCCCCCCCCCGTCTCTTACTAGGAAGAGACTCTCCAGTGTGAATTTTTTGACTGCTAAAACCCCAAACTGTGTAATCACAAGGCCATGTATTGTAATAGGCTATCAAAACTAATAAATCCAGTCTTTGCTCTGTTTCCCTTACCAATCTTGACATGTCTGATACACGCGATATCCCACTTAATAGCTCTGGGGCTACCACAGTAGGGCCGCTACTTGAACCATATCGCTGCATGGAATGCCTAATATGGCTTGTACTCACGTCCTCTTTGCTAACACCTACCTTATAGAGCATCTTGAAGTCAATGTCCTCTTTCATCATGGTCCAAATGAAATGCGGATGTTCGTTGCGCACGGCACGGGACTGTGGGATCACAACAAAAGCACAATCATGCGGCTCTCAAGTCCTGGGAGAGTGCTCAAATCCAGATCTTGAATATAAACTTACCTAATGTAAATGGGGATAAAGCTTCAGCTCAGAGTTTCATGGCAAAAAAAGTGATCCCCACTCCCCAGGCAGGGAAACATTTGCCATTGTGCAAATGTGGACTGCAAGGTTAAATGGACAGGGAGGAAGACAGGTCCGATAACCAAGCGAAGTAGTCAATGGAACCAATGCAATGCAATCACCAGCAGTGGTCCAGCTCCGGGCCGCCGGTTAGCCCTGATACCAGCCAGACACCACATGCATACCGTTCGAGTACTAGAGAGCACAGGGGCGTCGGACACGGTGCGGTCACTACGGTATTGAGTCAATGACCGTACTACTTTTTGCCCCAGTTACCACATAAACCAATATAATACACTGATTTGGGCTCTAAATTGCTAAAATATTTCGTCTCAGCCTACCCTCCCCCACGAGTAAATTGTACTTCAGATGTATGACCGTACCACCCTGAAATACCTTCCGACGCCCCTGGAGCACGGGATGTACCACACAGCATTGCGTGATGTTCCCAAGTGCTATGAGGTTTGCATATCTGCATGCCAATGCTGTGAGGGGCACGCCCAGTTCAGTGATTATGGACGATACATCAATGAATAGGTTTTCGAGCCTAAGTTTGGGCTAAATATGTCAGCCTAAAATCGCCGCAGTCGCTGGATGAAAAATTCTTTATTGTGATGTCGAAAACGCATGGCGTTTCGGGCCAGTCACCCATCGTCAGAACCTTAGCAGGGTTTCCATTCCTCCAGGATGGTTGTCTACCCCGGCAACACAGCCCATACTACCATACCACCAGAAGCATACTGAATAACATAGCTATGCAACTACATTGTACAGTAAGTAAACCATAGTCTGTACCAGGAAGTACATGCAGCACTTTTACTTCTCTCTGGAAAACACAGATAGTGTGCATGGTGGATACTTAAGCTTACCAGCATTCCCCACTCTTCTTCCTCTGTCTTGCTCATTGGCTCATAGCCAAGCAGGCGAGGACACGGCTCTGGCTGGTCCGCATCAGCGGGACTGTCACCACCATCATCACCACTGTCACCATCATCGCTATCACTGCTGCCGGCCTCTGCAGACTGATCCGCCTTCTTGCTCTTTGCTTCTCCACCGCTAACACCGGTGGTTGTGGTCGACACATTCTTCTCGGGACTCGTCTGGATTGCGGGTGGCTTCTTTTTGCGCTTCTTGCGCTGCCGGTTTGCCAGGATGCCCTTGGGAATCTTGTACTCAAACTCAATCCAGCCTCGTTTCCTCAGAGCATAGCGTACCATTGGGTATGGGCCATAGATGGTGAATATTCGTTTTTGCTGTAGCCGCAAGCAAAGACCATGTGCAACGTGTTCTGGGTCAATGTTGGGTAATACTGAAGTATTACTAACTGCTTAAGAGCCATCCATAGTACCGTGTCCTCATTTCTCACCCCCCCCCCCCTCTCCTCTAAGCTATACACATTGATGATGTGGTTCTGTACCAAAGACGTAGAGAAAGATGCACTGCTGTTGCTGCTGCTTGCAGCATGGAAGAACATACTGAACACAATGAGCATCACATCATGTAGCATCATTCTGTGCAGGCTGATCCAGTTCTTATAAGAAGTACAGCCTACCTCACTTATAACAAATGCGTATGTAGCAAATTTCGTGATGTATAGCGAACCACCGTCCATGTTGCTATTTGAAGCCATACAGAATTGACCCGTTGCAGCAAGCTGTTTTCGTTTGTAACGAACTGTATATTGTAGGGGAGCATGTTAACCAAGTGTACTTGTGCCATCACTGGCTGCATGTCTGGCAAGATAGGAGCCAATTATTACACTTTGTACAATATTCCAGAAAAAAAGATATTTTTTTAAAAATATTTTTTAAAATTGTTATCCATTATTATGTACTGTGAAGACTCATGACTCAACGGGACATGCGAGTGATATGCTTCCTACCTTCAATGCTTGTGCAGCTCTGGCTTTGACACGTTTCACACGATCAATGTCCATATGGCCCGGCAATGCAGGTGCTGCTTTCTTCAGCGTCTTCTTGTGCACCGCCTTGCTTGGCGAACTGGGACGGCATGCACTGTCAGAGTCGCCCGAGCCGCCATCATCGCTTTTTTGATCGCTGGCTGGTGTTGCGTCTTCCCCGGTGGCATTGACAGGAGTTTTAACCCGTGCCATTTTGCCTGCAGCGGCTACAGAGGTGGTAGTCTCATCTACTGCAGACACGCCAGCATGGTCCTTGGCAGCACTATTTAAGTTCAGAAGCAGGTGTGTGTCCAAGGAACCCACCGTCACCGTCATTTCCGTAACTTCCACAGATCCTTTGTCATGATCATTGACCTTGGACTTGCTATCTACTGAAGACGAAGACGAAGAGCTATTCTTCCGGAATAATGCCTTTACTGGAGAAGTTTTTATCGTCGGTGTCTTCATGGTTTGCTTTCCTGCTACTGGCGGCTTTACGGGAGACATATTACTTTTTTGACTTCTCTGCTGTGCAACTTTGTGTTCAGATGTTGTTGCCGCTGCTGCTGCTGCAGGTATAGACGTTGTAGTCATGCTGTTCTGCGATTTAGTTGCTGTTGCCTTGTCATTCGCAGCAGTGTTGTCTGCATGTAGGTTGTGGTGACGACTGAAGGCAAGCTTGCGGGCGACTGACAGCTTCACTGGCAGGTTTATGGCGGCGATTGCCATTGATCCAAGCTTGGTGGGGAGTCTCTTCGCCGCTAGTTTTGCCTGATCCGGCTTGTCCGACCTTCTGTTTTGGCCGATCATGTTTGCTTTCCCCTGTGGAATCTGAAGGCATTGGACAAACAGTAAGCAAAAACTAATACATTTTAGCAGTTCCCTTCCACTGTCCCCTTGTGACGCTGTTCACCAGGGAGCAAGCACTCCCTATCTGAGAGTTTGGTGAGCAGTAAATTATCTGTCCGTCAAGATAGACCACTCAGTTACATGGACAATCCATTGTTATTTCCGGTTGTAAACTACCTGTTTCCATACAAAATCAGTGGTGTTATCTACCAGGTGTGTATAGGCATCATACACTTTGCATATGCTATGGTGCCCAGATTAACATCAGTAAGAAAAAGAAAGAGAGAGAGAGAGACAGAGAGGGAGAGAGGGGGGGGGGAGAGAAAGAACACACACACACACACACACACACACACACACATACACACGAACAAGGGGAGAGAGCCTACCAGCTGGTTCCGCTTCTCGACGACTGCCTGCTGGCGACTTAGGAAAGTACTGGTTAGCTTCTCCGCCATCTGCATGCTACGTTTGCTGACCTCGGGTCGGAATGTCAGTGGCTTGACAATTTTATCCGGATCAATGGGACGCTGTGTTGTGAGGCGCTCCACTAAGCCTACTTGGTCTCTGTTGCTGTTGGCAAGGATGCGCAGGCTGTTCTGGTTGATCCGCGGTGCAAACGTCAGCTGTGAATCAAAACTGCATGGAATGGCACATTGCAGGTGGTAACGTTAGAAGGCCTCAATACTGTGTGATTGGTTTGGGCATTGGGGTGGGCATCATGGTCTAAGCCTAAGGGAACACAACACTATCTAGTACATGCATGGGCATAGTAAAATGGTGTTGGGGTGCCTGGTTGGCAAAACGCTGGTCAACCAAGGCCTTTGTTCAATTTGCCAAATTATGCATTAAACTAGGGGTCAAACGGGTGTACCTTTAACTAACGACCGGGTAATTTTCTTAACGAGCGGGTTAACGGGTACCCTTTAGCCGCCATGTTTAATTTTGGGCAATTTTTACATAAATCATGATATTAATTTATCTGTTCTCAGGTTGAATTTTGATATCACATTATGATTCGCAAATTGATTTGTGTCTGATAGTTGCGGAGGTAGATCTACTAGGTTCAAAAATGCAACAACAATGCAGACATCCAGCGTGGAGTTGGAAATAATTGACTCCCGCCTGGAATGCGCAATCCTAGCAGTGTCGTTCCGTACTGACTGGATCATCGAAATCCAAACGGGTACCCTTTTACTAACGGTACCAGAGATTAACGGTCGGGTACCCGGAACACCCCTTTGACCCCTACATTAAACCAACCCACTGAGGAGGCATGCCTATGTGCCAATGCACTCTTGACATGCCACGCTTCAGGGCCGTAGCATCCGGTCCGACCATGGCTGGACCACCCTATTTTTGAAAAAGTTCGCCAACCCAATTCATTCAAAGCGGGGGTTTCTGTCAAAAATGTTCATTTTCTGGTCAAGTATGCCACGAAATCCAGGTGCGGCTACGATCTTGTGCTTTATACAAGACCCGATGCTATACCCCGGCGGAAGCAAGACTAGGATAAGCTAAGTAAATCTGATGATATCAAACACTGCATAGCTTCCGGTGCATAACAAGTTACTCACCTGAATTTTCGAGGTTCTTTATGCAAGTGTAGCGGTGGCAGCTTTGGCTTGAGCGCGGCGTTCGTCACGGCACAACCCGGCGCTGGTGTTCCGTTGGGTGCCCCGTTGGATGGTGCTTCAACCTGTTCTTCCGTGTTCACGTTGTCCTGAGAGCCAGAGATATTGTCCGCACCAGAAGAGGAGGCAGCAGCTACATCACGTGTGCACATGTTCTCAGTTGCACTGCCGGCCTCCGATTCCTGAGCCGATGCCACAAGGGCACCACTGGCAGTGTTGATTACAGGGGAGGTGGACATAGTGACACTGGCGAATGCCTCCGATATGCGACTGCTGGAACGGCGTGCAGATGCCGAGGCCAGGCGCCGGCTGTGCTCGTTGATCTGCGGGCTGAACGTCAGATTCGGGTTGTCCATCATCTCTGGACGGCTTTGCGCTGACGCCGGCTGCGGCTCAGCTAGCATGGTCGATGTACAGATTGACCATCCGCTGGTTGAAGAGATCTAGAATGCCGGTAAATCAGTGTAGTGATTCAATGCAGCATACTGCATGTGTGTGTGTGTGCATGTGTGCCAGCGTGTGTTTGGGTATTCAGCTTGCAGGGTTACTGATCACAATAACTACATTCTAGCAATCAACCAGGATGATTTGTCACTGCTGGTCTGGTATCTTTGCTGGTACTGGGAACAGTGACTTCAAGTTTCAACTAACTTTGTAAGTGGAGGGAGAGCTAACGTTAACGTCTTGTTTGTTACTCTTGATGGACTATGACCGGTGAACTCCAGCGGACTGTAGTACTACCAGCTGTTGTATAGCCTAGGCCAGGCTAGGGCCGTAAGTGCGATGCTTCATCATCAGTTGTAAACGCACGCAGCTCAGGTACGGTCTGCTTCTCCCACAACACCTCAGTCTGGACTCGTGTACGGTGTAGCACAGTATCGCCAGGGCTAGGGCTGCTCGTTGATCGCTGTCATGTAACTGTAAGGGCAGTCGCGAGGCAGAAGCTCAGCTTGTTGATTCGGTTGATTGGTGGAGTATATTTGTAAGCAATCGTCACATTCACTCCTACCTCTCTCGATGTCTCCTTCAGTTCAGTCTCGAACCAAGCTAGGCTGTCTCGGTGCATCAAGTATTCTTAGGTACGTCGTTCCGCGGTTCAGCCACTACTACACTAGCACTCACTCGATCATTACACGCGATGACTGATCAGGCAGCCTTACAAGCAATCTTTGCGTGGAACCGAACGCCGCTATACCATGCAACAACCAGTCGGAACATAATCATTGGCCGTTACAACTCACACTCACGGAGTTACATGCGACCGAGCCGGCGTTGGAAGTCAGTAGTTCCCTTGCAAAACCAAACCTTGCTCGGTCCAGTTTTCAATTCAATTTTCGTGACACGGAGTGTGTTTTCGTCGTCAGTAACGGTCACCTAGGGGGCTTGGCTCGGCCACACATGAAGGTACTGCTACGCTATGTCAGTATGTGGCTTCGCTGCCTTACCTGTACTGCTCGCCCTTGTATTCAGCTTGGTATTTGGGCACGGCAGCATGTCCGAAATGACAACCGACACAAACTGTCACCATGCATAGAGCATTAGAGGGGCATAGTCAAGTATTAGTTACCATGATTACTAATTGTAGGTAGATTCTACCCTGGGCCTGGTGCTTCGAGTACAGGCAGGGCTGATCACCAGATCACGATGGAGTGACCACTGAGCTGTCCTTCCTTGCTTTTGGAAGCCGGCTAGATGGCCATGCATGACGTTTGTCTTCACTCTATGCGAAGAAAAAAACAGTCAAATGGTCGATGATTCTTGATTTGTGAATGTGGCGCCTTCGCGATCCCGACTGGGCACCATGGAAACCCTTTCGCATCGTGGTGTGGTGAACGAGAGTTTTGTGGTGGTGGACAGCGACGCGAGGCATTCAGATAGAGTGACACTGACAGGCTCCGAGTCCGAGGTCCTGTCCTCATACTATAGTCATGACATAACTTCATAAGTATCACGGACGTTGTTTACGCTGTAGTGTAGATCGGCCATATGCGGCGGGAGATCTGACAACAGACAAGCCTTCCAGGCTAGGCACAGCATAGCCACGGGTTTTACGGAGCGGAAAATCTCATGCCACATAAAAGCCTTCTTCAGCCGCTGTTTCGACGACACAAAAATTTCTTGAGCACAGATTTTCTTGTTACGAAACTCGACTGATCCCATTTTCTTTTCCGAGGAACACAAAAGTACTGCTTGCTTGTCGAGCCCTTGTCGTTTGCTAGGATGGCGTCCACCGAGCGTCATGAGAAGGACATGGTACAGCGCGCTAAGTCCGAGCTGTCCAAAGGCGGTGCGTCGCCGCTAACGACACTCAGGAACAAATGCCTGACTCGCGGCGCGTCAGGTATCAAGGGTCTGGCCAGGTAAGCGATGCTGCAAGCGGGCACCATTATCAAGTCTAGTGCCACCCACAGGGCAATTTCGGGTATGGATGACTCGCTCCGAAACCGCTGAGCTAGTCCTGCAGCTGTCCTTCACCCGCTTTCCATAATAGTTATGTGCAATTGCTGTGTCGCTAGCCTTGCTTATAAAGTTATAGATGGCATGTACTGAGTACAGGGGCGTCGGAAGGCAATTTAGTGTGGTACGGTCAGCCATCTGAAGTACAATTCACTCGTGTGGGAGGGATGGCTGAGCCGAATTTGTTGGGAAATTAGAGCCCAAATCAGTGCATTTTATTGATTCACAGGGTACTTGAGGCAAATAGTGGTACGGTCAATACCGTATTGACCGTACCGTGTCCGACGCCCCTGGAGTATGCAGAAATATTATGGCTTCGTGTAAAGACAGGTACGCGCACGAGTGTGTGTGTGTGTGTGTGTGTGTGTGCTTCAGCCTTGCAAGCTGTTGAATGGTGCAATCCCAGCACAAGTTGCTATGGCTTCCAGGCGTGTGCCCCGCATGGGTTCCTGGGTGCCTGGAACCCCCCCCCCCCCTTGTTTCGCTCAAAATGCAGGATTTTGCTTCATTTTTCGAAAATTTTCCCGGGGAAGGCAAAGGGCACCGGCGCACGCGCCTGGCTTCTGCCGTAGCATTGCTATCATCGCCTCTGGCGATGGGCGTCAAAAGGTGTGTGTGTGGTACATGGTGTGTGTGTGTGTGTGTGTGTGTGTGTGTGTGTGTGTGTGTGTGTGTGTGTGTGTGTGTGTGTGTGTGTGTGTGTGTGTGTGTGTGTGTGTGTGTGATGCGGAATGAGTGTGGAGAAGAATGCTGGCCACTGATTATGGCGATGGGCGTCGAAAGGTGTGTGTGTGTGTGTGTGTGTGTGTGTGTGTGTGTGTGTGTGTATGTGTGTGTGTGTGTGTGATGCGGAATGAGTGTGGAGAAGAATGCTGGCCACTGATTACTGGAGTCAGGGGCGCCGGAAGGTATTTTTAGGGTGGTATGGTCAGCCTGATGACGTGACGCTGATGAGCACTAGCAAACAATGGTTACAACGGGCCCTGCCGATTATCGACACTGTATTCGCAGACTGGCATCTAAAACTCAACACAGAAAAAACAGAATGGATCCACCTCACCCACGACAGTGATGTCTGGAAGTCTTCCAAGCAACTGGGATCGCTGCTGGGGGATGTAGCGGATTGTGAGCGCCGGATACAGCTTGCCTCTACAGTATTTGGTAGAATGTACTCACTGTGGATCAGACGGGAGAAAATCAGCGAGAATCGGCGAATCAAATTATACCGTGCATTTGTGAAGCCATGCCTAACCTATAACTGTGCCACCTGGGGCATGACGAAGGCTCTGGCGAGTGAGATTGACAGATGCCACAGACGCCAGCTCAGGAGCCTCATTGGCATAAGGTTCCCGAACAGGATATCGAACATCAACCTGTACCAGCGCTGTCGGGAAGAGCCTCTGTCAGCCACCATCGAGAAGGCACGTATGCGGATGCTGGGGCATGCACTGCGACTGTCGCCGGACACCCCAGCACAGCAAGCCATGAGTGGGTACTTCACTCCACAGCAACGTGGGTACAAGGGCCGGCCCAGATTGTCGCTGGTCGGCACCCTGAACCAAGACCTGCTCAGCAGAGGCAAGCTGGGCCTCTCGAGCCGAAGCCATCTGGACGACCTGAGACAGTTTGCTGCGGATCGCAATGGATGGCGGCAGATTATCTGAAGGAGTCGCCACAACTGCCGGATATTGACATAGATAATGGACAGAGCTAGAGAACAGCAGCGGAAGCATGTATGGCACGGCTGTGCATGTTGTACGCGTATCTGTGTTATTATTATTATTATGGTCAGCCACGTGAAGTACAATTTACTCGTGGGGTTGGGTAGGCTCCTCTGGAAAATTTCGAAATAAATTTAGAGCCCAGATCATTGCTCTTTTTTGATTGACTGGGCACCTGGGACAAAGAGTGGCATGATCAATACCGTCATCGTAGCGTGTGCGACGCCCCTGATCTGATGTTGCACTTCTATCAAATATGTCACATACTTCAAATATATGTACATATTTTACAGTGGTTGAGAAAACAATATCCCAAGGCCATACATTTACAAGTTTCTTTTATACATTTTCACCATGGCCATACTGGGCACACATCAGATAGTGGATGGCTTGACATTCTACATATCTGCCAGTGCATCACTGCATGCCATGGATGATCAAGGGGCCAGTTGTCACACAGAATACCTGAGTGGAGTATGTGCCAGAGTAACGTGCCAGTCTGGATGGTAGCTAAGCGGCCCACTTTGCACGGATTGGCATATGTGGCTTTGTAGCCGGGTCCCATTCACTGTTTGGTTAGGATGATTTAGGGATGTGCAGAAGCTGATCAATAATCCTCTTCTTCCTTAAGGCGATTCAGACTACGGCCAAAATCACGCCTGACCTTGAATTTCCATGGTGATGCAGTCGTGTTTCAAATAATTATGCACAATCGCTGATCAAACATGGCTGAGTCGTAGAAACGTGGTCACAATTGGCCGTAGTCTGAATAGCCTATAATTTCTTTCAAACCAGTTAATAGCCTATAAGCCGACACATTTCTCGCTTCCCTTATTAAGCTTATCATCTTTCTACCACACTTCACAGCATCTGTACGAGTAGTACTCCATTTCTACGGTTGTTTGTCTTTAGTTTGATTGTTTCACCCTGAGCCGATATGGGCCATGCACACACATGTGTTGGGTTGACATTGAGAGAGTTTTGCTGCAGGAAAGGCTACATTATGAGTAGGTGTTTGCATAGGTAAAGTTCTTCCATATTGGAGACATGTTTGTAGTTGGTGGTGGTCTAGCATGGCATATCCGTGACCATTATACGATGTGTGCTAGCGACGTGGGGTTGTGTGTGGCAGAGCCGTATCTCTCACCCTTCATCATGTGATGCGTTTCTGCTGCTATCAGGTTGTTCCGTATCATGGACGACGATGGCAACAAACAGATTGACTTTACAGAGTTCAAGACGGGCATCGTCCAGTATGGACTGACATTCGACGAAACGGTACGGAGCCACCACTGCATCCCGGTCTGCTCAGCTGATTAATGGACTATTTTATTTTATTTCTGCCAGACTGTAATTTTGCAGCCGTCTTACCAACATGACAGGTGATATGTTACAACAGCAGTACATGACATTTATATATTGTAACAATCGTGTTAATGAACTTTAATTAGCGTATGACGTAGAGGAGTTCGGCTTCCGTTCTGTAGCTTGGACTGCAGGATGGGTGGGGGTGGGGGTGGGGGATACCGAGACTGAACAGCCTGGAGAGCATACTGACCTGGCTATTCTGGGATGCGAAGTATCAATTCGAGTACCCTGTGTATGCTGTTCATCCTCCCTGAGGACGTCTTTGCTTTTGTTCATGCATGCATCAATGACTGTGGACTTTTCTTCTCACTACCACTGCTGCATTCGATTCAGGAAATGAGGGAAGTTTTCGAGAAGTGTGACCGTGATCACAGCGGAACATTGAATTTTGATGAGTTTCTGCGAGGACTAAGGGTAAGTTGCCACTGTAACTCGGCTGTTGCGCCTGCATCACGGTACCGGTATTCGTATGTGCGTTATTTTATCCATGTGCGTGTGTACGCGTGTGTGTGTGTGTGTGTGTGTGTGTGTGTGTGTGTGTGTGTGTGTGTGTGTCCCATATGGTGCAGTGGTATGTGCAGCGATTTCCAATCGATAGGTTGCGGGTTCGATTCCCGACGATTATGGTCACACACGTCTTTCTTCTCTTTCTCAGACTCCTCCTGACTTTTCTTTAATTCTCCTGGGTGGTTACCAACAGCCAGTGCATGCCGGAGTATGTGGCCACGTGGTGTGATGTGTGTGTGCGTGAAAAAAATGAAAAAAGACCAAAAGTAGGGATTCACTGGCCAGAAAAAGCCACTTCATAGCTGTGTGGTGTAGACCAGGCTGAATAGTGGCGGTCAATTCTTCAGCCTTGCACGCTGTTGAATGGTGCAATCCCAGCACAAGCTGCTATGGCTTCTGCTGTAGCATCGCTATCATCGCCTCCGGCCATGGGCGTCCAAGGGGGTCCAAGGGGTGTGTGCCCATAATTATGGCACAGTAGTATGTGCAGTCGATTTCCAATGGAGAGGTTGCGGGTTCAATTCCCGACGATTATGGTCGCACACGTCTTTCTTCTCTTTCTCATTCTCCTAGCTCTTCTTTCATTCTCCTGGGTGGTTACCAACAGCCAGTGTATGCCGGAGTATGTAGCGTGGTGTGTGTGTGTGTGAAAAAAATGAAAAATAGGGATTCGCTGGCCAGAAAAAGCCACTTCAATCAGCTGTGTGGTGTATACCAGGCTAACAATAGTGGCGGTCAATTCATCACTGATCAGCCTTGCAAACTGTTGAATGGTGTAATCCCAGCACAAGTTGCTACGTCTAACATAGCTGTTTGCTATCATCGCTTCCGCGATGGGCAGGTCTGAGGTGTGTGCGTGTGTGTGTGTGCTAAACGTGGCTGCTTGAACAACATTGCTTGCTGTCACTCCTGCTCATGCAGTGTGGTTTTTCGGCGCGTTCGGGCTTGCTGTAACATTTGCATTGCACGTGCACCAGCATGGCTGAGGGTGTATTGTTTGTAGTGGCCATACAAACAATGAGAACAACTGCAGTTACGCATGCGACCCATGCATCATTGACAACATCTCAGCAGAATGTTGTAGTCACAAGTATACAGTGGCTTATGCAGCCCCTGGAGTGGCCGCACGTAACACATTTGGCTCTGCTTTGTTTCTCTTGGTTCACCTCTCAGCCTCCCATGAGCGAGGCCCGCCGATCGTTGGTGGTCAGAGCCTTTGCCAAGCTGGACAAGACAGGTGATGGAGTTGTTACTGTGGAGGACCTGAGAGGGTATGTTGGTAGCTACTCTTGCATGGTATAGTATTTAGACGCAAGCGATCCTGTCAGCATGTTTTTCATTGCTATTGTGAGGTGACTGCTAGTAGATAGGGTTCGCAGTCTTTTAATGGTCTTCCCGCTTTGACCAGCATTGACATTCGTCTCTGGTTGTCAATCATTGATTGACTCCATGAACAGGAATTAATTGTATGTTTATGTTGTGACCGTCTTCTTCACCTTGACAGAGTGTACAACGCCAGGAAGCACCCCAAATACCAGAATGGGGAGTGGGACGAGGATCAAGTCTTTATATCCTTCCTGAAGAGCTATGACTCACCGGATGATCCAGACGGCAGGGTTAGTGGGTGACACCCTAGTGACGTATACCGTCGGAGTAGTGGACATCTGCAGCTTAGTGTTGCGGACTGCAGTATATGCCAATATACACCCATGTACACGTGCACATCTCTCTCTCTTTCTCTCTCTCTCTCTCTCTCTCTCTCTCTCTCTCTCTCTCTCTCTCTCTCTCTCTCTCTCTCTCTCTCTCTTCTGATCATAAGACATCGGTGCTGAATGCAATCTTATCATTACGTAAAATCAACTAGCGCTGGACAATGGCATATATTCTACGTTCTTGAAGTATCATAAACAATACTGCACTTGTCTCTGAGCGCAAACACTGTTCCATTGGGGTGACTATTGAGGCATGAGTGAAAAATGCATAGCCGTACCCTCCTATTACAGAGCTGTGTCTCGACTGATGTTCGCCTACCTGTTTAGTCTATGTACTATTGCAAGACTATTGCAAGATGTGTGAGAGAGTGTTGACGATGTTCCTGTTGTGTTCATACTGGCATGCAGGTTGAGAGAGAGGAGTTCATGGACTATTATTCCGGTGTCAGCTCATCCATCGATAACGATGCCTACTTTGACCTGATGATGCGGACGGCGTGGAAGCTGTAAAGCTAGCGCACCGTGCACCCGCACAGCCGACGACCATGCACGTGAAGTGTGGCCAAGTGGCAAGAATCGTTCCAGTGCAATGCCCAGGCGAGGAGCTTATGTTTGGCAACAACACATGATGGGACCACCAAAAAAATCCGATTTCATTCTTCAACTACCGTGCTCAGTGCAAGCCGGCTTTCAATCTCACCAACACATTACGGCTGCTGCTTCTGCTGCTGCTGCTCTCTCCGGTGTACTAACATGACTGCTACTATCCATTTTGCCCTGTACATGCATGTCCACTGTACTAGCGGTGGTATGGGCTCTGTACTACTGTAGGGCTTCCGACCCCCATTAGATTTTGTTTACCAATCAATGGTGTTCTGTTTCCTTTCGGTCGTCGTTGTTGCTGGTGTGCACTGCTGTCACTGATCCGTAGAGCCCGGCTGAACACCATCTGTTGACACGGGTGGTATGCGTAGACCAAGCACCGTATACCGTAGGTGCGGCAGCAAAGCTGCAGTGCAGCCAGCTTGCACTCCATAGATTTTTCCCTAGACCTTACACGGCCTGTGTTGACGATGTCAAGCTTGCTGACAGTGCTTTAGTTTGTTTAAATTTTTTTGCTGATCATTCCATCTTTCCTGGATGCATCACTGGCGAGACTAGCAATGGTAATCCTATTATTTACAGTAGAGGGATGCACACGAATTGAGTGCTCCCGTCCTGTTGCCTACGATGGATCTCGTTGTTATTATTCCGTCACCTGAATTGTTATGCATCTGTTTGACAGCCTTTGAAATGATTCTATTGCCTTTGATGAAGTTCGACCAAAGTACGTTCCCCAAGATTTTACTGCTTGCAGGGGCACAGCCATGTTGTATTTCGGCTTGACCTTATGAACATGCTGAAGCATGTTGTTCACAGCTTACACCACCATCACACAGTATGCAAGAAATTAGCAAATTGTCCGTTAAAAGGAAAGGGGAGAGCGGAGACAAGCTGAGGCCAAACCAAAAAAGAAACCTGAAATGTTGCGCTAGATTGCTCAACACAAGCCACCACAAATCTCTAATGCTACACCTAACTCTCGCACTAAGTAAAGGATAATGATGTTGCCAAATCTTAAAAGGCATAGTCCAAGGTGGGAGAGGGAAGTATTGGAAATATTCAACTGAAATTTCTAACGTAAGCACTCAAGATCCCAGAGACCGGTAGTATGTGTAGGGGACTTGGAAACTGTGAACATCAAGGAAACCCACTTCTCGAAAGAGCAGGGCAAAATCATCGTAACAGAACAATAATTAGGAGGACGGCAGGGTCAAGGCAATCTGCGAGGTTCATCAGATTGGAAGTCGACAGAAAATCTTTGAATCTCCACACATGGTGATAATCGTAGGGAAATCAAGAAAGCCAAAAAATCGCATTTGATACAAATAGTGAAATAGTTTAAAAAGGTGAAAATTGAACAGCTATGAGGATGCACCTGCTTTTAAATACCTAGAGCAACTCAGGGCAGGTGCGGTCCTCCTGGCTTGCGTCGCTTTCCGGAGAGCTTGGCTCTCCAGCTGCTCGACGAGCCGCTTTCTCTGCCTTCGGTGAGCATGCTGTGATCCTCAACGTTACTTGCAGGTCTTTGGTTAGAAGGTGGTGTTGGTGATGTTGTGGGCTCTTCAACCTGAACCACACGACATGCCATGGATACAATCAGTTACAGAACTTACATTATAATGGCAGTGCAGCCAAGCTTGTGAGTAACGACCCCCAGGCATAACAACACTCCGCAAATAACGGCACCTCTCCAGACCTATTAACACTATGTGACGGCATACTTTAATTAATTAACCTCACAAACAACAGCACCTTCAACATGCCCGATCAAGGGTCACTATTCGCAAGGTTGACCGCTCATAAATAATAATCATAATTATTATGATACTCGCTAAAGACACCAGTACCACTCCAGTGCTCAATCTCTCAGACAGGGCCAAACTATACTTATTCTGCATGACGTGTACAAGCCAACACAACTATGCACAGACCAGCATGTGAAGCTGTGACAAGCACAGTGTAGTTGAGAATCCAGCAACTAGTCCCTAATTTATATAGAAACTAACTGTACGTGGCCATCTAGGCTAGGACAAGTACAACAGGAAGGCAAAAAGTAGCCCATAGCCACTTCTGGCTAGGCGGCAGGTGTTCGAGATCTCTTGTTTCAATAAGCTTGATTTGCGAACCGTGCCAGTGCTCCTCTCCTCTCCTCGTCTCCTTTGCCGCCCAAACTGTCACCCAATCCCAGATAGGCTTTCTCAGGGTGGAAATATCTTTGAACAAGCAGAATTTAACCCCTCGTGTTTGCAGGACCAACATTCACAACCAGTTTGCCAACTGGGCACCAGCAGTACAGTACATACATGTTAAAAACCAACCATTGTCACGGTAAAGACACAGAGATATATCTCGCAGCACTTACCCTGACATCTGACGAGCTTAAAGCGCGTCTCTGCGATGACGGCGAGCCAGATGAACGTACGCTAACATTGCCTAAAAAGCCATAACACATCGAAAACATTCACAACGGTGAACTCGGAGCCTAAGAAGTATGAGCTGGGAAGTGCATGGGCATATTGCATAGACTAAATCGGAAAAGGCCAAAATTCCACACAGGGTATGCTCCAGGCTGTCACTCCAGCACACCAGCACTGCAAGTACAAATGCAAGTACAAGTAGTCATTGTCTTGATGGAATATTACGGTATTCGCGAGTTCACCTGGAGGTGAGCCAGCGGAGACACGGGATTAGCAAACATAAAATGACCCATTTTCGTATAGATCGTGGAGTCTGGACTGTGGGCTGGTGGTGGTGGTGGTGGATCATGTACACTTTAGCACCACATAGTAAAGCATTAGGAATGATGAGGCTGCAGAGCAGTGCACTTGATGCCTCCTCAGTAAGCTGGTGCAGCACAAGCCGCAGAAGAAGCCAAGTTTGGTAAGAGATGCTATCAACATCTAAACCTGCTTGCCGGCGACTTACCTGAGCTTGCCCTCTTTGCAGAGTTGCTACCTTCCATGATGGGCATCAGGGTCTGTGCCTGCCCAAGGTGGTTTCCCTTTGTATTCGCAGGTACTGAAGAGGACACATGCGAGGCGCCACTTGACAACTGGCCTTGCTGCTGCTGCTGCTGCTGCTGCTGCTGTGCCAGTGCTGAGCGACGTGCAGTCTCCGGCGAGAGGTCAGAGCTCTTGGAGCGCTGAGAGACGTGTTCCATCTCCTCTGTATTGTGGCGCGACATGTACACACACAAACACAGGCAAACAGGTCAGTTCATTAAGACTACTACTAGCAAAAGAAAATCTTTCACAAAAGAAATTATACTGACATTCTGTGTCCACAGCATGAGTCTTTACAATCATGAATGGGGTGCCATGGATAGGAAAGCTAGCTTAGTAAGTGCTGCGGCGCTTCAACTTACGGATTCGCTCTTCTTCCATTTCGACAATCTACAAAGATAAGATACGACAGATAGAAACGGTAATCACACACTGTCATCCTGATTGTTGTCTAACTCACAATACACATTCATTATGTGCAGCAATCATGCTGGATGTGTAATGGATGTGTAATGGATGTGTAATGGATGTGTAATGGATGTGTAATGGATGTGTAATGGATGTGTAATGGATGTGATCTTCAGTTGTGAAGGCCACTCGGCTCAGCAACACGGCAAGTCATGTGAGAGTTTTCACTGGAAGACTGTCACAACTCCCCACATGAAACAATCATACATGAATAAACTTCTTGCCTGACTGTCACAAAAGACATGACAGAAATGTGTTTATGTGGGACAGTGCAATTGCCAAGCGGAGTTTTTGCGAATTATGGTGCAATGAGCTACCATTGCAAACACAGAAGAATTATGCAGAGCACAGTGCCAGCCAATGTACATGTACCACAATAATTCAACTATGAATGATCACTTACCTCCGCCATTACTTCACGCAAGTCGCGAACAAAGTTCTTTTTTGTCTCTTCCTTCTCTCCATTGACTGTCAGCATCACCTGTAACATGACAACAGATGAAGCAGCTGCTAAGCCAGGGTGCCTATTTTTTAAAAGGTGCTGCGTTCCGTGTGTCACGGTACTGGCAGTGCAGACTTCCAGCCACACGTACAGTGTGTACACTGCATGCAGGATTCTCCTGTACACTGCATGCAGCATTCTCCTGCTGCTGCTCCTAACAATCTATAGCACCATGCATACTCGATTCCAGCCCAAACGGTAATGATTCTACTAATGATTCACCCTTACCTTGCCCTCAAAGTTGGTCATTATCTGTACGCCCCGCTTGTAGTCTGAAGCACAGAGGCGAAGCACAGAGGCGAAGCATAAACATGAAAACCAGTTTCATGCCCTGCCCAAAAAGCATACACGTACATGTAGTGCAGTATAGATCCTTGAGAATACTGTTGAACAGGGTTTCGAAGATAGCCTGCTGTAGAACAGGTAAGCTTGAGTAGCTTCACGGGAAGTATTATTTTGCCGTCCGACAAAAAAGGTAGTCACAGTCTCCGCTGGTAATGGCTGCACTATCATAGATTAATTGTAGAGCACTGTTCAGTGGCCTGAAGCGAATGACCTTACTTCACGTATTGTAGGCGGCAGTGATTGTTTTCCTCCGACTTTTTCCCTTTTCAACTCCCTGCAAACTACTGGATATGGCAGGTGATTTGTTTGCACATGCTTTGCTGCTTACATTGGTTGCTGAATTCCTGAACCTTCATTCCCAGCAACGGCAGTGAGTTCTTGTACATGTACGTCCAGCCGTTGTTCTTCTTCGGCGCGTACTTTGCAATCTGGAAGACATGATCAGTAGCCACACACACACACACACGCACACACGCACACGCACACACACACACACACACACACACACACACACACACACACACACACACACACACACACGCACACACACACATTGTACATTTATATCGGGCGTGTTTTATCACATGCTCCTGCACTGTGACAGTCATAATAATTCACCCTACTAAGTTTACAGTGCAGTCAGAAGTCTGTCCGAAGCGACCGCACTATGCATGATACACAGAAACTTGGTGAGTGTAATTGCTCTGGTAGACCATTACCCCATGTACTGAACCCACAGCTGTCTTCAATTTTGATACTAGACACAGAGGAATGCATGCCCCGCACTGAAAATGTCAGACTTGAAGTTCGCTAGCTGCAAACTGTGCAGTGCTACTCTCGGCTTACCAGCAACATGTCGTTGAACAGGAAGAGGAAGCGCGAGTGCTGGTTGGGGGCTTGCTTCTTATCCTTATCCAGAACCTCAATCATCCTGGCCACGTGCACAAGTTGTCGGTGTGGCTGCGACAGCCGCTGTTGCAATCAAGTCAGGAAACACAACACAAACACAATAACAATGAAATGGTTGTTATTGCTTGGTATCGCAATGGAGTCCATCATTACTTAGGCAGCAGGAAAGATCTCACCCCCCCCCCCAAACAATCTCTTGAATGGCTTATTTCCAGAGTCGACGTGACGTTCAGAGGAAAACGAATTAAATGAACATAGGCCTACATGTACATAATTCTATCTGTGTGTTCTATCTGTGCATATCATGCCCAGATGTGCTGGTATAATGCACACGTTGTGTGCGCAAACTGCATTCTGCTTACGGGGCTTTGGCCGCGGCCAGTGATGGTCTTCTCCAGAGACAGGACTTGCTGTACGTGGTCCTTGGAGGTCTTAAACTCTCGCTGTAGTTAGAGGACACAACAGCCGAACAGAACAACGGGAATGAGACATGTATGCTTAAGGCCCTGCATGTCTGCAACACCGGGTGAGACTCCATACTCTCGGTGTGGCAACGGTGAAAACATCACGACTGACTATGACACCCACCGCACTGAGGCCATGAGGCATCATTGCTCGGAACAGATCTCCACCGGGTCTTGAAACATACAGCCGGCAACACCGTGGTAGTAAGTACACTGCACCTAAGTTCATTCACACAAATTCCGACATCGACAAGCGCGGTGACGACTGTACACAACAGCACACGCTCTGCTGGACTGCTTACCAATCATTTCTGCTTAGGAAACAAATTCAAACGATTTCAGTTCAAAGTTTGTCATCAAGGTGAGCATGCGCTCTCAAACAATGAAGAGACACATGAAATGATGGTATTGCGACTTACTTCAGACACGTCTTCATAGATGGCATCCAGAAAGTCGCGGCGGATGTCTTCTCCATTGTTGATGCCTGAGCAAAAAAAAAAGGATACACAGCCATTGAAAGAAGATGAAGAGAGAAGAGTGCAGGTCAGGCGCCAGTTGTGATCCCCTTTTCAATGAGATGCCGTCTGACTCGGTATACCCCGACCGTGACAGGTTAATCACATTCCGAATATGCTACGTCCAGTGCATGGCCAGGTCGTGGCACTGCAATGCTGCAACATTTTACAGTAAGCATTGCGAGTAACGACACTCTACCTGCCACGAGAAAGTTGTTGTTAACTGTGAGTTGTCGGTGCTAAGTTCGTGAGGTTGAAGGTATGCAGTCAAATGATTACTTGTGGGTCTGACGGTAGAGTCACTATTTGTGAGTTGTTATAACTGAGGCTGCTATTGGAGAGCGGTTGACTGTATGGGTGCATAACACCAGTGTTTAGACAACTGGCATTTGTGCACCTGTCATTTCACTATTAAAGGCACTTCCATCCACTGCAACGCCACCTCTGTGCACTACTACACAGGCGTCCGTCCATGCACTCCCTCAACTTGAACCTGCTACGTCACGCCGCGCCCCGTGCCGCCCGCGACTCACCTCTGTTATTGCGTACAAACTCTTCCTTGGTCATGTGCTGCTTGACGCTGCTGTTGTGCAGGTCCGTGTTCAGCATGATGGTGGAGAAGGCCAGAACAAACACAGTGTCGGCGCTCAGGTCATGCTCAGGGTTGCATTCCGCAAAACGATTGGCAAACACCTGTACGTGACATCAAAATCGGACATGTAAAGAGCAAAATGGTAAGAGAACCGTTGAAAAGAGCAGTTCAGAACGGCTGACAAACTGAAACTGATCATGGAACGCTGCCAGTGAAATCAGTTATGTGAACTGTTCGTGCACAAAGTACAGTATGCGAGCTGTAGGGATTCAAGAGTGCTTACAACCGAAAAACGACGATCGCTGTGCTCAAATCATGCTCACTGATGTACAGGCGTCATTGGTAAGCAGGTTAGAGGCTTACCTGAAGTATTCTTTCAATCTTCTGTGCCTCACCCTGTAGTGGACAGTTCAGCACAACACCAGTGAACACACGCATACAGGTGCATACACGTATGTACACGTATGAACCGAGTTAGAATCAAAGACCTGGTAAGCCCATTCACTCACACATGAAATGGATTGGCATGAAGGTTGTCCCGAGGAAAGTCATGTGAGGTCAACAGGCTTTTAAATAAATGGTGCAGTTGACTAATACTGAGGTGCCCTTAGCTGGAAAGTGGCACCGTGTACTACCGACAGTACTGTGTGCGCGCGTGCATGTGCGTGTGTGTGTGTGCGTGTGAGTGCATATCTGGACATGTGCGAGAGAGTATGTGTGTGTGTATTCATATAACAGTTATTTATATAGATACCAGACTCGAGTCTTACCGGAAGACGGAAAGTTGAGAGGAATTTACGCAAGGCCATCGTGAATGCCTCTGACTGAAGATTAAATTGATTTACAAAATCTCTGCACAAACGCCAAGAGCCATAGCAAACACAAGCAGGTGATTATAGTACCCATCACGGAGTTGACCTACCAGACGCAATGTACTACATGTACATGATCAATCACCTTCCAAGCATTCCAATGTCAGCTGTAGAACCATACATGAAATTAAGTTGATCAAGAAAATAGCAATAAAGAGTCCACAACCCACTCGCTATGCCAATGCGTGTATGTTTGTGTGCACATGTGTGTGTGTGTGTGTGGTGTGTGTGTGTGTGCGCGTGTGTGTGTGTGCGTGTGTGTGCGTGTATGTGGGTGTGTGCGTGTGTGTGGGTGTGGGTGTGGGTGCGCGTGTGTATGTGTGCACATGTGCGTATGTGTGTGTGTGTGCATGTGTGTGTGTGTGTGTGTGTGTGGGTGTGTGTGCGCGCACGCGTGTGTGTGGGGGGGGGGGGTGCGCGTGTGTGTGGGTGCGTGTGTGCGCGTGTGTGTGTGTGGGTGCATGTGTGTGTGTGTGTGTGCGCGCGCGCGCGCGTGTGTGTGTGTGTGTGTGTGTGTGTGTGTGTGTGTGTGTGTGTGTGTGTGTGTGTGTGTGTGTGGTGAATGGTGTAATCCCAGCACAAGTTGCTATGTCCAACATAGCTGTTCGCTATCATCGCTTCCGCGATGGGCAGGTCTGAGGTCTGAGGTGTGTGTGCATGTGCGTATGTGTAGGTGTGTGTGTGTGTGTGTGTGTGTGTGTGTGTGTGTGTGTGTGTGTGTGTGTGTGCGTGTTCGAGTTGGGGATGTGTGTGTGTGTGCGTGTGGTCACGGTGGTCACTTACAACAGCACTGCCTGATTGAAGCCACTTTGAAGATTTCCCAGGTATTCACCGATCATCTGGCGACTCAGACCACCCTGCTTCTTCAGGAACACAGCAACAGACTTGGTGTCATCCTGCAGAAGACCTTTCCCAATGAGATACTGGATCCCTTTGCTCGGCTTTCTGTTGATACGGATACACACACATGATATACAAAAGCCAGTGAACACACAAATCCACATGCATGGGTACACATTTAGATGAAGCCATTGCAGCTCTGCCACAGGCTACTGAAAGCTTCAGTCTGTATTCTCGATGTAACCAATCATCTACACTGGCATAGTATGTTCTTTTCGACTACGCTGATCCACCAGCCCCAACCGACTGTCCAGGCTCCCGAATACTCAGCACGCCAGCAATCACAAGTTTTCTTCAGCATGCAACACTGAGTCTTCTCCGGCAGCCAGTCCAACCTACCTGTTAAAGTGAGTGATGCCGATGCGGAGCTGCCTCTGTCGCTTCAACTTCGAATCGCTCGGCTTGACTGCAAAAGACGCCCGTCGCATGACCTCAAACTGGCCGCCAGTGTCAATGCCAGGAGACGGGCTCGCCGACGATGCAATAGACACAGGAGACACGGCACCACTATGAACGCCGTTAGCCGATGTCTTGTCCTCGCCACTGCTGTTTCCAGGTGAGGAGCGTGTATTGATTGAGGATGTCTCGGAGTTCATTCCGCCGTCCGGACCACCCATAGATACATCCGTGGAGAGCTGTTCCGGTTCTGGCATGACCACTACGATCTCCGACATTCCCACCATGGAATCCATAGACTCCCCATTGCTCATGGTACCAGCAGACATCGCTGGTGATATAGCTGTGCGCTGTACAGGCCGATGCATGGATTTGGACTCGCTGATCCAGCGGTGCTGCTTCGGTGACAACCCACTCTGCTTGAGCTGTTCCATGGTCGGCGGTGTTGAGTACAGTCGGCTAGCACGCATCTGGCGATGATGAGCATGCCTTCGCTTCAGCGCATGCTCGCGGAATGCCCGCTGTATCGTACGCGCCGCCCTCTGTGTCCTCAGGTTGCCGCCGTAGCGCCTGCAAATATCCACCACCGCCCGTTCACTGCGTTTCTGTTCCATGTCCGGAGAGAGAACGTACTCCGGCCCGTCAGTCGAGTGGGATCTTGTATCGTTAATGCTACTCGAGCTGGGACGACGCTGAGAGAAGCTGTCATCCCTACTGCGACTCTTACTGCCAGAGCGAGAGCGTACATCCGATGTGGACGTGGCCAGTGTGGTTGAACTAACACCCATCGACGCCGTACCACTGTCAGTTTCGCTGAACGAGCCGAAAGAGGTAGTGCGCGACGTCGGCAGGTTTGCACCTGGTAATGATGCTGCCTTGTCGGAAATGTGACCGCTCGCCGACTGACTTCGCGAGAGACCTTGCTGTGACGACGTCGATGTCCCCAGCTGCTGTTGCTGCACTGCCAATTCGCCACTGCTGCGGCGCTGCAAGTTATTGTAGGCCTGCACTGATTGAGAATGGGCAGGGACGGAGCGTACTTTCAGTGGTCGACCTGCCGGATGGCCATTCCTGGAGTAAACACACAGTGATACAATGATAAACACCGTGATACACTGTCTAGTTCTGTAGCATGTATACCGGAATGCAGCCATGCAACAGACTCTTACTGACAAGAAACGCTACCCTTTACTATCCGTGTACAGCTCGTGTGAAGCTCCCCAGAGAGTAGTGTGTTTCAGTGCGCTACGACAGGACATACATTGCCATATTGCGGGCATCTGCTATTGACCCGCCACTGATGTCACTGATTGATAATCATGACTGTATGAAGCCAATGAGCAGGGTGTCATACAGGCATCTCCCCCAAGAAGCTTTCATCACACCCACATATGCCATTCACATTGATCAAGTATCCTACAAATTTGTAATACTCTGCTTTAAGGCGTCGTTGTCTTGCCGGCAATGGAAGATGATGACTCCCTTTGGCCACGTCATGAGTGTACTCTCCCCTGCTGGCAGCAACATTTCCGCTGAATTCATCTTTCAGAATGTAAGAGATGATTTACTTCCTCCCCCCGGCATACACTGTATTACGAGATACTAGTATCAGCATGTAGTTCCACCCCCGACACTGAGTCAGGGTCACACAGCCCCCCCCCCCCACACACACAGACGTATATTCCGCAGAAAACATGACAGGCTATATTACAGAACACATTGTGTGTGTGTTTGGTGAAATAAGCAGGGGCAGCCCGACAACCATAACAGGACCGGAATGAAGCATCAGCGAAACAAAGCAAAACATTGGCACCGTGAAAACTGCCCCGCCATTGGGGTCTTCCGTATCAGGAGTAAATACAGCAACAAAGGCCGAGTCAATACAGCAACAAAGGCCGAGTCAGTACAGCAACAAAGGCCGAGTCAATACAGCAACAAAGGCCGAGTCAATACAGCAACAAAGGCCGAGTCAATACAGCAACAAAGGCCGAGTCAATACTCAACACTTCTACTATACCCTAGCCCTAACATGCTGTTTGTTTACCCTGCATGGTAGTAGCATGCACTCACTTGCAATGTAGACAGAACCACAGTTACAGCACGTTACGTTCCACTTCCACGGGCAAGAAGCGTCTGCGATACTAAAACTTTTCAAGAATCTTGGCTCCGTCACAATACATCTTCAAATTGCACCTCGGGTCAAACCTCCCGGCAGCCTCGTTCGCACAGTCCAGAATCTTGCCGACATAGGTGCAGCGCCCATAGTCCAACTTCGAACCTCTTGCAGACCCGTAATAGACGCAATAGACCAGTTTCAAAACATACAGTAGCAGACAGCCTCCCGTGTTGCACAGAAACTGAGGACGAAACCTACCACCAAACTGACGGCACTCATGCAGTGTGGCATCTGAGCTTCCATTTAACCTAGACATGACTGGTCTAAACTTGCTACGTGCAGCGCCTGACGGGCATGCCCTGTTGCAACTGCCTGCACAACTGACTAAGCGAGGAAGCCATGAAGGAAGCTATCGGCAAGCTTTGCGGATGACAGGCACAATTCCTCCAGGACACCAAACTGTTCAGAGGAGCTCACGCTTTCACTGATTATTTACATGGAACTAGAACATCGTGAAAAGCGTATTGTGGTAACTACCGTATTTCCTCGATTAATAGACCCGGGCTTTTGTTTTTTGAAGAGGGTTGGACCCCCGGTCTCTTATTTGGGCATGGTCCATTATTTGAGCACGGTCCACTATATTTTCATTGGCACATCGCTGGAAATGGTGGATTTTTTAACACGTCATAATATAGAAGTTCTATAATAATGACGTATTAAAAATTTCCAGCGATGTGCCGATGAAAATAATGGACCGTGCTCAAATAATGAAAGAAAGCACTAGCCACTACAAAAATTGTAGTTGCACAACCTAAAATCGCGTCCTTTTTTGATCCACCACGTGCTTTCTTAGTGCGCATGCGCAAAAGCGATGAACTCAAATAAGAGACCGGGTCTCTTATTCGGGCATGGTCTACGATTTTTCCGAGAGGCCTCTAGGAGGGTCTACTATTTGAGCATGGTCTATTATTCGAGCATGGTCCATTAATCGAGGAAATACGGTAATAGCAACCCACCTCGGTATGCTGTTTACGAAACAATAAACACAACCGACTTCCAACACACCAATTATTATTATTATTATGACGCTCGTCTCAAAAATTCATGAAATCGACAAGAAGCATTCGCTACTTTCCCTTCCTAGCACCCCTGAATACACGTGATACATGTCGTGGTGTCTACCCTCAATGCAACTGGCCTGCATATGTACAACATGATTGTACAACAACCATCTCCAACCTAACCAACTAAACAGCTGCATAAAGTAGTTAGATAGGCTCCCACTGCACTGTCTGCAGCCCAGGCAGCAACCATCAGCTTTCATGTATGGGACCATCACTTCAGTCAAATGACGGTAGCCTGGAAGTGGAAAGGCCAGAGTTCAGCAAGCAAATCCGTGAAGCCTGACCAGTTGACACCATTTTTACTGAGTATTGTCCACCACACTACATATTTCACAACGTTTTGCATTGACAAACAACCACGTGCACAGCCGGGCCCCGTGACATCGACATTTTTCGTCATTCTTGGGTCACAGGCGCTGAGTATGCACAGAGAATCACAGATAGTGAGCGGAAAACTACGTAAAAGACGTCAACATTATCGACGCTTTGCACTTTTAGTCTCACCATTCCATCGACTTTCTTTGAGCAACGGACAGGCACTGGGACAATGGTCTCTCCCTGCGTGGCTTCAACGCTGCCACAGCACTGCGACTCTGTACACCAACCAAGCCCTGGCCACTTGCAAGCAGAGCTGCCGTTGCAGGACTCCGAACCAGGGGCGAGTTGGGCGGCAGAGCATACTGGAAACAAGCCCTGGACGGCGGAGCTTGACCAGCAGCAGCAGCAGCAGATGCCGCCACTAACATACTGGGTGGCAACGAGTTCACTCCACATCTTCTCCCTCGTCTCTCCGCTGACGACGGTGGAGGCATACCCTCACCAACCATTTGCTCCTGTGACTGGGTCGATCGCCGCTGCTACTGCACTGCACAGCAGTGGGTGACAAAAATATTGACCAACACCAGCAGTTGCCACCCCTCACACTGGCCACAGCTCATTAGCACCGTGTTCCAGGTAGAAGGGCTACTGACTCCCGTGGGATCCCAAGTGTTACTTGATGTCCAGTCGACTCCAGGTGGACACGTCCCTGTCCAAAACACGCACACCTAAGCTGGCGAACCGATTACGCCGCTGTCACCAGCCGCTACAAAATAATCGACTTCAGTGCAGGACTTCACGACAACATTCGCGCCCACCTCGACTCGCAAATTACAGAAATGAATCCTAGCTGCTCGCTCCAGCTCGACCTATGCATAATTATGGTCAAAGCCGCTCGCCTACACCTGACGTGAAGACCATTGGCAATCAGAGATGTTTGGTGCTGCCAGCACGGCAGCAGCAGACATGCTTCCTACAACCTTCTTCGACGAGATGAATATGAATGCGGATGAGGTCCTAGCACAAGCAGCCCGGGGAATACATGACATGAGTAGAACCAGTTCGACTACGCCATTGGGAGTCTTTCTTGCTAGCTTCGCGGACGGAAATCGTCCTGAGCGGATGCCGGTCGTCGAGTGATGGACACTGCGCAAAAAGCAACTATGACAGGAGTACGTGCCAGCTACGTAACTGGTTCGTCGAAACAACTGGCGCGTAGTGGGAGGTAGGTTTACAGGGTCCATCGTCGCGGCAATACTCGAAACAATAATCGCCTATGACTAGTATGAGTTACAACACAACCACGCAGGAACACAATCATAGATATCAGTGTGTCTGGTTTTAGCTCGCTGAACGCCACGCTTCTAGTCGACGGAATCTAGCAAGCTCGTTCAGCCGCTCGTTTCCTCGCCGACTGGGCTCGCCCAGGCTACTACTACGCTGCGCGACACATCGCTAGTAGTAGCTCGTCTATATAAAAGCAGAGCGTTCCCTTGCTTGCACCACACCATCGCGTTACGGTAGTAGCTAGCCCAGACGAAAACAACAATATTTCTTAGCAAAGGCTTTGATCGTCACTGACCGACTGGCGACAGGGTCAAGCCTCCACCACCTTCCCACCTGTACCTTGCCTAAGACCAAGGAAAACTCGCTTGATATTAGCACCGATTGACTGCGACACAGTGGTAATAATATCGACTTACCTGGCTTCAGGGCTCCGAGGAGGAGGGAGACCATGTTGCAACTCGGCTATAATTCCGTTCAAGCGCAGCACCTCGGCTTTCAATTCCTCAACTTGTCGCTCCAGCTGCTTCTCATACTTGTCCTGCTGTAGAACTGCGCTCCGAAGCTCGTCTAGCTGCGTCAGTATCAACTCGCTGTTACTCTCCGCCATTGCTAACGTCGCCGTAGCGCAAAGCGCCGAACGCTAAAAGGTCCACTGCAGTGTAGCGGCTATGTGTCGGACGGTAACGACAGCGACGGGCACTACGCCAGGTTGTGTTTTCGTGTACGCACCTTGCACGAATCGCACCCCTTATGTAATTAATTTTACTACTTGAAAGAGGCCAATACAAGTCGATACTTAAGTCCTGTGCTACAGCAGTGCAGGCAAGTAACGAAGTAAGTAAGGCGTTTTACGCCGTTTATACTACAGTTTAGTTAAGGCTATTGCCAGACTCGGTAGCTCCGTACCTCTGTCGCTTCAGGAAGGGGCACAGAGTAAAAAACAGACTAGCCTCTACAGGCTCTAGGCTGACTAGCGCCGTTACGGGACAAGCGCTGTAACTACCTGCAGACGAACTGCTACTTGTAGTAGTCGGCTAGCGTTCCAAGACGCATTCCGAAACAAGTTCAGAAAGAGCCCTAAATCAATCAACAAAAATTCCTCCCTACCACTACCACAGTACCAGGTCATCAGGAACAAAAGCGACGATTGTACCGTACTGGGTCCGTAGATCTGAGCTGCAAGTACCAGCCGAGGGCAGATGAGCGCATGAAAAGCGCGATAAGTACTGTACTCAGTATACGAAAACGGTGTTTGTTCTTTTGACGTCCGTATGGAAAGACTCGTGTAGAAAATCGACCGAGGTACTCGCGCCGTCGCGGATGCACGGACACGTCCGCACTTCTTTGTATAAAATAATTATTTACCTATCAACACGTGTTTCCCGTTGACAGGATCTAGGTAGACTAGGATCTAGGAAGACGCTAGCATGCATCATCTACAGTGGTGGCCAAAAGTTTTGACCCACCCCATGGAATCGTCAGTACAGCTCAGCCTGGCTCCTAAACACGCCGTTTTTTACTTCTTTGAGGCCAAAGCCGATTGAAACTTGGCTGAAGGACACTAAAATTTGCAAGAATCCGTTGTCAACTGAGATTTGTGATGGATCACCATACATTTGGGTGGGTCAAAACTTATGGCCACGTGACCAAATTTTGCTCTACCGTACCGACTGGCCGTACGGTTTCAAAAAAGTTGTCAGGCTGATGCACGTGCCGGGAAAGTTGAAAATCAACACTTGACTTCTCACTTTGAGAGTTTGCGATATCAAACTTGATTATTTTGACGACGGAGATGGTATTTTCAGCCAGGATAGTGAACCGAGGTCAGATTAGTAAGGATGTGAGGGAAATGGTCGTGAAGCTGAGTGTTGACGGTCTCTTTTGGCGTGGTATCGCTCCTCTGTTGGATTTGAGTAATCCTACGATACGTAGAATTGTCAGGAAACAAAAATTGACTACATTTCACCTCGATCAGACCGACCAAGAGAGACCAGTGCAAGACAAGATCGCCACCATATCATGAAGTCAATGGAGAATCGCCTCAAATCCGTCACTGCCTGCGAGCTGAGATGGTGAGCGACGGTGATAACGCGATTTCTGTGCGTTCTGTGAGACGCAAGTTGCAGAGAGCAGGCCTACGTGGCTGTATGGCCATCAAATGGCCCTTCATCAGTGCTGTGAATAAGGCAAAACGCCTTAAATTTGTATAGACGCACAAGGACTGGAGCAGTGATGACTGGTGGTAATTTCTGTGGACTGATGAGTCTAAAATCAACCTCAAGGGCTCTGGTGATGCAGTTTACGTCAGGAGGTGGACAGGATAGGCTCTGGCTGGCACATGCACCCGCAAAACTGTGAAGCGCCGCGACGGCAATATCAATGTATGGGAACCATGGCCAGCAACGGCGTAGCGCGCATTTGCCGGGTGATGGATACGATGAATGCGGACCAGTTCCTCGCATCATCCGAAAACATGATGTTGCTGAGCATGATGCAGCTTGTGGGTGGTGTCTTATGGCCGCTAACGCTCCGCAAACAGAACGGAGGCGCGGCGGACGGTGAACGGCATCACCGTCCTGACATGGCCCCTGCAGCCACCTGACCTCAATCCAACTGAGAATCTCTGCAAAATTGCTGGGCTGAAGCAGCACGATGTTGAAATCACCCCCAGAAACCAGTATGAGCTGTGGCGAGTGTGCCGGGAGGCATAGAAGTTGATTTCTCCTCACGAGCGCAAGAAGATCGTCGATTCAATGCGGCAGTGTATGCAAGCGATCATCAAGACCAAGGGAGGGGTTACAAAGTGGTGGATGTATCTGGAATAGGCCGGGACTGACTTCTAGACTTTAGCTTAGTTGAATACTTTTTAGAAATCACACTATTCCGTGTATCCTGTTGGCGGTTTATGATAGTGCGGGCGTTGGCCATAAGTTTTGACCCGCCTTTTACATATACTTGACCACAGTAGTCCCCAGATGACTCCGTCTTTCAGCATTTTTCATTTCTACTTCACTATTCAGCCTGATTCAGAGGTCCTCGACCAAAAATTTAGTAGCTTACAGCCCAAACCTTCAGAATTCGAGAAATCTGCATGGTGGGTCAAAACTTTTGACCACCACTGTAGCTCTCGGGCTTGCACTGCAAAAGTGCAAGCCAGCGTAGTATGGCTGCGTGTGTCACGTCAGTCAAGTCTGCATCTGGTTGTTTGGGAGCTAGCTGTTTACAGTTTCTGTCCTGCATGCCTGAGCAGCTGGAGTTGAGTGGGCTGAGTGGATCATCGCAAACACCCAGTCAACTCTCGATGAACTATGTTACTTCATGAAGGCACAAACTCAGTCAAAGTCAAACTGTCAAATACCATGAATACTGAGTACACAAAGCTCCACAGCCGGCATAGGACCCGGCATACTCCATAGTCCATACACCAAGGACAGGACAGGTACTGAGCCTCTGAGGTGCAGTCAGTAGACAATAGATCTACACTACACTGACTAGAGTCATATTCATTAAATTTTAGTAGACCTCCACCTACAAAACGTACTGCATGCCGGCCTCTGACTGGGTCTGGTGACTACGCGGCGACTACAGACTTACACAGTTACCATGGTTACAGTATACTGAGACAACTAACTAAATAGTAACTTGGTCTTGAGTGGGTGTCACATCTTAGAAACATGCACCAGTCTGCTCCAGCTATATCATGTAACTAACTAATACTTACTTACTTTTCAGTTCACCCCAGCAACAACAAGAATAGGGTGTTACGTTTTCTTACTCTTAGTACTCCCTTGTGCCATTGTTCCAGCAGATGCTGCAGGTGTCGCTGACCTGCACAGTTTGTACGAGTACTTGTAGATTTATGCAGTGCGTGTCTATGTTCCGGCCCGTCCGTCGATTCTGCCCATCCTAAGATGGGCAGGTGCCCATCTTAGGATGGGTTGAGGGGGTGCCCATCCTAGGATGGGATAGGTTCGATTGATGGAGATCCGGTTTTTTCGTTTTCCCGCCGAAAACGTGCTTTTATAAATTTATAAACGTGGTTTATATTATACTTTTTTTTTCTTTCTTTTTTGGGAGGGTGGATCAGAAGTACAGTAGACATTACTAGTCCGGACGAGTCAGAGCGAGGGCGATTCACGGCTAGGCTTGGTCTGGAACGTAAACATTTTTCCGAAAGCAAGCTTCTTCTCCAAAATTCGAAATTTCCTTCCAAAAATGCCGTCGTCCTTGACCTCGAAGCTGAATGTTGTTAGGATAGAAAATTAGCGAAGATGTAGCCGACCCATTCTGGCGAGCCGTGTGCCCTCTGGATATGCAGTTGTTCGCCATGGTCAACAATCTTCTTCTCCTTCGTTCGTACTTTCACTTTCCTGACCACGAATACAAGCGGTACCCATGCTCAGGTTAGTGTTTATTTGTCTGTCTATGCACATACATGTACTACAATGTACTGTTCGTGCTGCAGGCACTGGCCGATCATGAAAATAGAGGAAGCAGCCAGCTTTCTTTGAATTCTCGTGCTTTCAACAAAAAATATGTACACGCTTTCCTTGGCTCCTCTTTCCCACCGCCACCATGCATGCACAATCGAGCTTGCTTGAATGCCCTGCAGTGCAGAATGCTCCCACCACCGCAACCGCCGCCACCACCACCAGCAGCAGCACCACCACCACCACTATGACCACCACCACCACCACCATGACCACCACCACCATCACCGTGACCACCACTATAGAAGCATTGTCGTGCACGGCACGTCTGCAAGAGAAATTAATAGTATGCCAGTGCTGTAATGCCCTGCAGTGCAGTGTGCTCCCGCCGCCACCACTATGGAAGCATTGTCACGCACTGTACATCGATCCACACGAGAACATATGCCAGTGACTTACTAGCACCTCCATGCTGCATGCGGACCATTTCGTGAAAATTATCGATAATGCTGGATAGCTCCTTAGTCTATGCAATAAAATAGTTGTTTTCTTCGCACAGTACCGTTGAAACAATATCCGGCCAGGTTTGTACCGAACATTTTTTCGAAAGGTAATTTCTCAAATGTTGCCTTGAGTACATTCTCAGCAACATAGCGGGCCAGTTTCAAATAATTGGACTGCAAACTTGCATCGCTGGTTGTTGCAGCTCCATCACAGGTCATATCACAGGAAA